TCTCATAGGAAGCTCTGGCGGTGATGCATCTCTACAAAACTGTCGCATGGGTTACTCGATCAACGCTCATGCACAAAAGGTTTCGCGATAGAAAAGCATATTTTCGGGAAAATTGTAGTTTTTTAGATTTTGTAGTGGGAGACTAGAAGGTTCTTAGACGCAGCAATAGAAACACTGACGAAAATTTATATCTTTTCAAAATGATGGGTTGGAACAGATAATTATTTAAATAAAACCGGACAAATTTTTGTATTCCTGTTTTCGGTGGAAGATTGAATTTGGCTGGGATTATTTCCATAATTTTGTTCGTTGACTTTTATATTTTAAATTTTATTATTTATCAACGTGGTTTTCCGCTTTGTGTATTTTGTTTACGCATTTTTTACGCCAGCATAATCTGGTCCAGTGGTCGTAAGCATTCCATCAGCCTGTTATACGCACAATTAAATTGTAACTATAACTTAGCGAGTGTCAGCTGCTGTTCTGGTTATTTATTTATTTTTATAATGACTTGGCCAATAAAATTAAATCTAGTTCATAGATTTCCGTGCGCGACTCCTTCAAATATCATGCGTCGTGCTCCCGCAATCCGCTTTACTAGTTAATGACGACCGTATACCACAAAAGTTCATTCTTGAGCCCGACAATTTTTATTATCATTTCCAAGAAATCGTCTTTTATTCAGGGATGGTCGTGGCAGTGTCAGAGCATCTGTTCTGTTGATACTGTTTGAGCTTCTATATATAATGACGGTCGAAAATTCATGTACAAAACGTAATTAAATTTGGCTCATCTTCGATTCGTGATTGCAAAGAAAGTGAATTGTTTTAGTAATGATGAATTTTTGGTGTTTTGTCCTATGAAAAATACAGGAATGTACAATTTAGAATATATGTGATTGATTGTCATTTATGATTTCCACTGTGCTTTATTGGCTGCCATTTGAGATTTCCACTGCACATCTCTGTGTTTATTGCTGTCTGAAACTACCTTACCAGTGACTGGAAAGCACCGGTGCTGGCTTTAGCTCTTCAACCTGTCCACATTAAGGCGAAGGCGTCCTTTTCCTTTATTTCTTGCCACATTAAAATTGTTGCGGTCTATGTTTTCTCCCTAAGAGCATTTGATACAAACTGGAACATCGACGCCTTCTCGCGACGTTTTACTGAGTTTCTCTTTTGATTTACAAGTCGACGTTTATAGAATTTCCTGAACAGATGCTCTTTATTGGCAATTAGATCTTTCATGCTGTATGTGTGAAATGTAATTCGTTGATGGTACGATGAGCCTTGGTCAGATTTGCGCACGATTATAATTTTCTTCTATCCAGACAGCTTTTTTTTTAACTCCATAATCTGTCACATTTTATTAGGGTAATATTATAAGTTTAAATTAATATACTACCGTTCTGTGAAACTATTTGCTTAACTGGATTATTGGTTTATATGACGTCTCAATTATTCGTCTTGTATTTTAATTTGATCATGTGTTACTAATTATTAGCAAAATTAATTTATATGCAATTTTCTGGTTCACCATTCGATCACATGAAGCACTTGAATTGTTTATTATTTTTCCCGGAATTATTGTACGTGGATAGAGTTTAAATAAGTGAGTTGAATCCACCGTGAGATTGCAAATATATTTGCGTATGACAGACGCTTGTATTACGCGTGCTGAAGTTCTCACAAGGTTTACATGACTTCCAGCCCATTACCGAAATTTGAAGCCTTTCTCTCGCTGTGTCTAGTCATGTATGGAGCAGCGAAAGGTTGCGTTCCGCCACGCAACATCGAACATCTTTTTAGTGTAGCTGGCGAGAACAACTTCTTTTCGTAAATTTCTTATCGTCAGCGTCTTTGTTTTATCTGATTAAACCTAATAGCGCGTGTCCCTAGGTGCAGAATGGAAGCAGTTACTCCTCTATGCTCTATTAGCAAATCCATTGTATCCATATCTAGGCTCATTATGTAATTTTTGTTGCTATTAATCTAGTGCGTATTGACATTGTGTAAGACCAGTGACAGAAATTCTTCCACAAGTTAATTCAATGGCAAGGAAATATTTTTACGAGTCTACGCTTGCCCACATTCGGTAAACTCAATTGGGGATACGGTGCATCTTTCTCTTGTTAATGCATGATATTCATGTAGAAATGAAAGGTCCGTGACTTTAATTTATAAATCTGAGTTTCAATAACTGGGTTCTTAATTCAGACAAAATACGCCGAATTAAAAACGAAAATATTTTCGTTAGAGTAAATACCATTTTAATGGAATATTATATTCCAATTGTACATTTTTATCAATTAATTTTAAAACACTGAGGGACTAATTTGCCATCATACAGGCGTCGAAAAGAAACGAATTTCAGCTTGCGTTCATTGTCGGAAAATTAGAAAATTGCTGACCAGTCCCATATATTTTTAGGGAGATGACAGATGATGGCCGTTAAAATACGTGAAAATTTTAATTTTCCTGAAAAATTAGGTCTTGAACTCCGAAGCAAACTGTTGCATAAGAGGAATCATGGAGGCACTCGAGCCGATAAATGCAGGCTGAAATATATCGAATATAAATCTGGTGAAAGCAAACAATATTTTACGCCTTCCGAGCTATGCGTTGCCCTCAGTGGTTCAACAAATTATCAAAACGAATAAATATTTGTCAAGGCACATTAATATTGAAATCAGCTAACATTCATTACAATCTTCATCACTATGTCGATAATTAAGCCTTGTTGTAATGCTACATTGACCGTGCTAAATTAACCGACTATAGACAAACGGGTTAAAATCATGATGACTGGTTGGGTTATTTAATGCATGCATGAATATGCATTATGAATGAATGAAAATTATCTCGGTAAAATATTCATCATTACGTTTTTTATTGCTGAAATAAATGAAAGAAGTTGACGAATCTGCAAGTTACAGGTCAAGTTCGTTCACTCGTACAACTATATACTAAATATTTTTGTAATACCGTGAGTCCAAAGCTGTAAGCGCCTGTGCTACTCGTCAACTTCGATATTCCAATTGCTGTCTGCGCGCCGCAGCTTCAACGTCGCATTACATCTGTTTTGAATAAATTTAACGGTACGTTCAACTCGAAAGGAAACTTCTTGTGACTAACTTTATTTTGCGCAGAGCGTTTCGTCGAATGTTGCTTGTCACTTCGAACCTGATGGACACCGTCTTCCTGATATTGTTTTCAAAACATAAGTATTCTAAATGGTATGTTATGCGAACCTCGAGGAAAATAAACTTTCTTCTTTATGTACCTTCACTACTCTTTTATTTCGCCTCAAAACTACTCAATCGGTTCTGCCCCACCCTGTACTTTTTTCGTCGTATTTGTTTTCGTCCAGGGGTGAAAAATGCTTTAATTTTCACTACAGTATAGGTAAAGTATATTATATATATGGTATATTTTTCTACAGTATATTTTCACTACGCTTCTAGTGAAGCGTAGAAATTACCGTTTTCTCACTTCGATAACCATTCCCCCAGGCCTTCAGCCAAGACTCGATGCATCTAGCAAACTGTATATTAAGATCAAACTTTATCTCACATGAGACTCTGGTCGCTACCGTTATTTCTGGCCTCTATTCTATTGTTTCAATTTCTCTACAAGTCAGGCAGTGTCTTGAGAGTGCAATTTTTTGCCCCTGGTTGCGCGTTGATCCGTTATTGAGATCCATAGCGTATCCCGCTAGATCTCTGCTTGCGGCTCCCATCCATGCCGTGATCGTCTTCATTTTATTACATTGCTGCAAGTATTTCATGCACCACACAAGTTGTCTTCGTGTCTTCCTCTTCATCCAGCTCGTACATCAGCAGCATTGATTGGTGGTAGCATTGAGCCGTTATTGGTGCATTTCTATCTTCTACCTCGTACCGCTAAACAGGTGACTTGGACCATTGACCTGGCCCGTTTTGTCTTTAAGAAAGGAAAATCATACACTCAAAAAGTTTTTGCCTTTAAAAATTGTGTTGATGGTTCTTGAAGTGCCATGTGATAATCTACAAATGAAACAAAAAATATTTTGTGTATTTAATATATAAATATTTGTATCTCAAAAGGTACAGCGCTAGAAATGGTCAGTGGTTCAAGTCGGTACTGCTATTAAATGAGAATAGGTGTTTGTTTCTAAATAACAGCAACGAAACCTCACCACTCACTTAGCAATTTAGAGACAATGTTGAGTCTTCCTCAACTTTCAGCATCGTGAATGTACATTTGCACAGTTGGTGGTATTATTAACATTTACTACGTAAATGATAATCATACCCAGATCATTGTCATCATTACCCGGAGCCTAATGAAGTGTGTGTCCATGTAATACAGTTATTTCTTGAATATTTGTCACACTAGCAAGGTTAATTGCTAACTGAACTTGAAATTCTTGGTACCTGGGTTCCGAATAAGATCACCATGATCTGATATCATTGACGGTCAATGAACTGGGGCAAAAACTTGGCTTTAATGTCAACAGAATATTCTGTGTTTCTTATCTAAGATTCTACGTTATTCTAGCCATCCGCAACACTTTCGATCCGTTCAGTGCCTCAACCCTAATCATCAGTAATTAACGATTTCTGACTGTTACAACAACTTTTTTTACGGTTGTAAATGTCTCGTAAATCAGGTCGGCTTGCACGTCTAAAGTGTTTGTAGAAATTAGAGAGAATTGACTTGTTGATGTGATTAGGCGGAATCCTGGACAGTGAAATCCGACAGAAAATCAACATCGTCATGATTAAATGTTGGCGTGAGTGCCTCTATCATAGCTTCTCCTTGACTCGCAGTCCTGGAGGCTGTGGCGTCAGCCCTGTGCCAGTAGGTGTCTGGACAGCGTCGGTGGTGTGCGTGGTAGCTCGCAGGCTGTCGTGCAAACGATCGGTTCATATTTGGATGAAATATTGGTCTTCACGGCTGGTAGATGAGTGCGGAGACCATGTGTTGTTAATGGTGACTTTCCAGGCCATAAGCCTATAGTTAGTGTTATTGATGAGTGAAGTAGACAGGTTTTTCATGGATCTGGAAGCAAAGTTAATGTATGTGCAACAACATGAGAGATTTGATGCAACGAGGATCTTTTCGTGGAAAGAATATTCTTGAAACTGTGAGCAGAGCTCTCAGTCCTTCTAGAAATCGATCCAAAAGTCCGAGTGCTGACAAAAATAATAGTGATGTTTCCCAGAGCAATAAAACTCGTAATGGGCAAGGAAGAAATGGGAAAAATCGGGAAAAGCTTGATCAAAGAAATTCGTCAACTAAATCTGACGTCACACGGAAGGAAAAGGATATCAGAAATGGCGGCAACAAACAGAAAAAGACGTCGTCTAATTCTTCCAGTGAAATTAAAAATGAAGACTCAAGGAAGTCCAGTGAAATTAAAAATGAAGACTCGAGGAAATGTCCTGCCATTGAAACGGACACAATTATTGAAGAGAAAGGCCTACAGGACCAACGGTCTTCCTCTGGAGCGTCTTCGCAGGCATCAGGAGATTCAACGCCCACCAAGCCTACCAACGCAGTGTCCCCAGATAACGACGACAATGTCCCCGACGGTAATATCAACGATGAGAGGGAGGAAAGCGTGTACATGTCGCGTAAGTTGCTCTTCCGTAAAATGATAGAACTCGAAGTCAAAGAGCTTGGCAAGCCTGACTGTAGCACAGCAGATGTTGTTTCTGTCGCTGATTCTTGGGATGATCTTGAAGAAAATTTTTCGAAAATATATGAACCAATTCCGGCTCGAGTTGCTCCTTCAAAGAAACAAAAGAAAAAAACAAAATCAAATACTTCATTACCAAAAGGCTATAAACCCGAAGACAGGAAAATACAGAACGATGAAGTGTTTTACAACTCCAATTATTTTTTGTTAGGCAAAAGTGAAAAGCCGCCAACTGCTCACCCACAGTACGTTTGCTCGACTGAAATGCGTGACAGCGGCTTTTCTCCTACAAGCGAACTCGAGGTGTTTGCTGAAGTGCATCGCTCTCTAAGTGACTCCTCAGACTCTGACATCAACAACGAAGAGCCTGATGGCAGTCCCTCAGTAGAGGCTGATTATGAAACTCGCACTGATCTGTACCGCAATATCAGAAATTTACGGAATTCGCTGGCTCGTCGGCAGCAGCAGAAAAAGCGCGACGAAGATGTTGACTCTTGGAAATCAATGACCACCGACGACGAGCCAGTTTATGTCTCCCGCTCAGAAATATTGTCACGTCACGAACTTTCTCCTCTACCAATTTCATTGAGCAGTGCACATGGTTCGAGCCTCGCCAGACACTCTAGCAGACATTTTATTTCCAGGTCTGAAATTTTGGCTCGACTCGATAAAGTTCAGGAATTAGATGAATGTAGAGCGCGATCACCAGAAGCCGGCTCGGTGTCTTCACATGACTCATGGTCAGTGAAAGAACATGATTTGCTTTTTGATAAGAGAATTATTCCTTTTTCGGGCCAAAAAAGCGGCGCACAAGACTATACATCAATCCAATCAAACGGAAGTTATATGGATTTTGAAGCCGATCTATCGTGTAGCGAGATCGAGAGTCGCGAATGTTGTGGCTTGGACAGCAAACGCAGGCGACATGAGCAGCGCGAAGCAGCTGCCGCGGAACTACAGCGGCGCGTGATGGCTGTGTTGGCCACGCAGCAACATATCGCGCCGTCTACCAAAACAAAAGTCATGGATATAATCAAGCAACACATCGACAGCAATAACGACTCCTTAGACTACGAACAGTTCGAAATTAAAAACGAAGAGATCCGAAATAAATTGAAGGAAGCTTTGGCTCATGACTGGGAAACACTGAGTAACATCAACTTAGGACTTATTTACGTGCCTATGGAAGAGAATCTCAGCCTCCGTTCTAAAAAGTCAGCTGCAAGTCGTGACGTGTCTGACTATGACACTTTCGGAAGCTTGGACTCATTAATATTTGAGCCCAAAGTTCCGTCTGAGGATGCTATATCTGAAGCATCCGAAGACAGCGTGTGTGATAATTCTCAACTGAGTATCAGTTTGAGTGCTCTGCCGCAGTCAAAGTATGATGTCGAGACTGAGTTCAAGAGCATAGGAAAAGTGCAATCATTAGTGACTTCTTTTGACGATATTTATAGCGGGAGATGCTTGACGTATGATCCAAAGAGTAATGAAACTACCATAAGAAACTTTAAGGTAAATGACATTGTGAAACGCCTTCAGGAGTCAACGGAGTCATCTGAATTAGATGTGCAAAGACGTTCTGTCAATCAATCGGAGAATATTTCTGATGAGAGAGCTGCCACTGTTGACCATAACAGGACAATTGCGAGCGATGATTCATCGGCAATGAAGTCACTTCACTCAAACGAAAATGACGACAGGTGCAGTTCAAACAGCACCAACGATATACGCAATGGCTCCTCGAAAAATACACCTAATGAAACTACTATGATGAAAAAACAAGCCGAAACGACTGATTTTCGGAACTCTAGGAGCACTAAAGAGGCTGGTTCTAAAAAAAGTAACGCTGAAATGACATTTTCGAAGAAGTCCGGTGCTGATCCGATTCATGCAGAGAATTTTCGAGCTAAAACGAATGATGCAAATAATTTTCGTCGAATGAATGTCATAAAGGATTCAAGTGCTGAAACAAATGTTACAAGTAATTCCAGTGACAACAGGCTTCCTATGAATAATTTTGACGAAGTTGCAGACAGTATCCCAGAAAAACTCGAGAGAGACAGCTTAAGTTCAGGTGGAGCAGACAGGAGCAGCTGTTCCTCGGACGACCCTCAGGACTCTGCACACCCGCTAGACCGACTTGACCCACAGGATCCGAGGTCTGCGCTGCCGCCAGACCGGCATGACCCACTTACCGAAGGCTCCGCAACAGCAGCATCGGTCAATCCCGCCCTCCCTGCAGCGGCCAAGCAAGCGGTCGGTGGCAAATGCCTCAAGGAGGTGGCACTTGGCGCGGCGTCTGGCACTGAAGAAGAACACAAAGAAAAAAACCATGCATCTGAGTCTTCGCTTATGCCTCAAACACATGCCCATGCGCGCGCTTCTGCCTCTTACTCTACTAGCTCATCTGACAGTCAAACTTCAGTAGTGTCTCAAGAAACACTCAATATAACCTCGGATGAATCTGTCCGTAAAAACAATGTGTCTGTTTGCTCTGAACATAGACCACTGGCTTCACGTTCAAGTGACAGCTCATATGCTCCTAGAACGCAACTGAAGAAATTTTTCTCGGGCTTGGCCGTACTGGGGCTCAAACGATTCTCCTCTAAAGAAGTTTCCAAAAATGGAAACGTTGGTGCAGTCATAGAAGAGAACAGAAAAGAGATTGCGACCGAAAACGATTCTAATGGCACGGGGCGTGATTCTGTACTTTGCGATTCGACGTTGTCAGATGTCGTGGTGGGTTGTCAGGTGTCTAGCGCTGATAACAAAGAAAGCCACACGATTGTAGCCGAGAAAGTCAACGGACCCGCGTCCATTGTGTCGGAAGTTGGCCATTATGAAGTGCCGCCAGTGTCAGCTACCATGACCAGTCTTGATTCCGAATCTGACAGCATCACGAGCTTGGAGAGTGTAATTTTCAAAGGCGCTGGTGCGTCAGGCGCAGATGTTAGCTCACCTGCTAAAAAAGCCACGAGTAAGCGGGATAAGTATGTCGTTAACCATGGTCATGAGAGCGACACCAGCGATTTTGGTAAATCAGCAAGTGTAAGCACAGCCTTGAATATTGATTCAGACACTTCTTGGGACTACATTCGTGCAGAACAAAGCAATTTGCCCGCACAACGTATCTTTTCTTCTACTGCTACCCTGAGTCTTACTGGCGAGTCTATCTGTGGTAGTACGGAGTCAATTGGTCCCCGCGTCATTGGCAACTTGAGGCGTAGAAAGAACGATGCTTGTGTTGTAAAGTCTATTCCTGCTAACATAGAACAGTTTTTTAGTGAATTGAAATGTCATGAAGGCCTGCAGGAGAGTGATGGTACAGTAGACGACGGGCAACTTGATGCTTTTTTATGTCCCGACAACCTTCCTTCATTCGATTCTGACAGCGATAACAAGAACAAGTACGACGTCAACACTTTAAACACGAACAGTTCGAACTCATCTGCTCCGGCGGTGCTGCTTCTCAAACATCACGCTTTTACTAGCTTCGAGTCTCTAGCTTCGCGCCGGAATGAAACTCAGGATAGCAAGGATACGAAAAATCCTTCTAATGCCGACGTTGAGAGGCCCACGGAGCTGCAGATATATGGCTCACGTAACGGGGAATTACTTTACGGGGCACGGAACTCGCTTGTATTCCAAACCATGCACGGGGCTTACGTGACACGTGATCCTCCTGCCAGTCATCTGTCAACTCCTCTAATTATTCGTAAAGGCAAAGCTATCGAACTTACTGAGGAAATGTTCAAAGCTGCTCATGACTCAATTAATACTGAAGTTAAACCACGTGTTCAAGATGATGATACAAAAGTGGGGGAGAACGATGACCCTCCGGTCTCGAAATCAAATAATATTGACTCTGTTGAAAGTTTAAGTGACGAATCTCGTGAAACACAAGAGAAATCCATTGAAAGTCAAGCTGAGTCATCAGTTCTGATTCCTGCCGTCCAGCCGTCTCCCATTACTGACGAGAATTCATTGAATTCTGAAGTTGTTGACTCTGTCATGCGTACATCTGAATCGGTTGAAAAATTTAAAAGGGTTCAAAAAGTTGGAGTAGCCGTAATGGGCGAGAAAAATAACGACATGATGATCCGCGAATTGAAATTGAAATTGCGACGAAAGTTTGTTGCAGGCGAATGTGATGAGATCGATTCACCAGACGACAACACTTCCATGATGAACCTTGTAGACCAACCTCCTGGCGACGACGGAAAGAGTTCAATTGCCTCCAAGAGGGAACAGCTTGCTCCTCACATGAGCAGGATATTCGGATCCTTTCACGAAAAATGCCGGCAGTCATTAAACATTCCTCCAATCGAAAATAACTTGAAAACACGCAACACTAATGAAATCGAAACAAGAAGCAACGCCTCGAGTGGAGACAAAAACTTGGAAATGAAAACTAAGGTGTCTTGCAGCGGCAAAAAAGCAAGCGATAAAGAACGCGAGTCCATAGAAATACGGGGCAGCGATGGCACACTTGAGCAACTCTGGCTGCCCACACCCGACTACACTCCGCTTTCTACGTTGCCGCGTGTTCCTGTCGTTGAGATGGATGTCATCAGTAAGCCGATGCCGACCATGAACGTCGACGACCTGGAGAGCGTTGATCAAGTGATGAATTTTGAGCAGCGTGTGCCCACACCTGATTACGACTGCACTCCCACGCCATGTCCGGAGTGCGACGATGAGTCTTTTTGTTCATCGCAACCTCCTGGTGAGAAATCCTGCGTTCAGGCTAACGCACTGCCAAAGAGATCCGTTCGTTTTGACTTGGTGAAGCATATGGAGGAAGTGTCGCCGACCTGGTCTGACATGGAGAGCGTTATATTTGCTGAGGACCGGTCTTTCGGATCACTTTTGGTGGACGGAGTTCATAAGAACCTTCAGCTAGCTGAGAACAGCGGAGGTCGCATGGACTCCTATCAAGACTGCCTCTTGTGGGATCAAATGGCCAAGATGAGACGCAGCCGCATGCCTGAAGACAGAGAGAGATGGAAGACGGAGAAAACAAAGCGTATGCTACTCTGGATTCACATGTCCACTAATGACGAGAAAACCCAGAGGTGCTACAGAAGCTTTTGGTGGAAGGTAAGATAAGTACTGACGCACGCAAACATTGCCGTTTTTTGAGAAACCGTTCTTCTTTGAGTTTTTTGACAAATACATTGAATACCGTAGTATCGCGTTCAAAGATAGCGGTTCTTGGCTTGTATTCAATATAAGCACTCAATTGTTACATTTTCCTGCAGTTTCAGTAGTTTAGTGCATGTGATCCTAGTTTTTTTTTGTCAAGTTATCGAGGCTAATAATCTGTTCTTAACTTCTTCGCTATTTTCATTGTCGTTTTAACATGCTATGCGTGTATATTTCAAATTTTGTAATAAGTTGACTGTTAATTATACTGTATTAAAAACTTTACTTTGTCTAAAATTATATGCATTGCGTAGTTATAGTTATTTCTTATACCTGTAATATTTGGCGAGATCGAGCATTCAATGTCGCGAGAGAACCTGACTCTTCAAATTTCGGAAGGAAATTAGACAGAAAACGTAATTATTTACGAAGTAAATTTCTCCCTCGATTTTGATATAATGGATGAATTTCAAGTGAATAACTTCTGGATTGTGCCATCGCAAATTGTGTTGTTAGGAATTGAACATGTTTTATATATTTTTTTCCATTTTTGTAATCAAAGAGAGTTTGACGTGACTTGGCCGAATTGCGAAAGATAGTTTAGCCTTGTGTACGCCGTTGATGAGTAAATAGGAAAAGTGAAACAGTGTATGTTAGGTCTTAAGTTTGCTGTTATGTTTTTATGCGCGTATATTTTAAGTGTGATCATTTAAGAAAGATTTTAAAAGTTTAATTTCTCCGTACCGATATTTACTATATATACCGGTAATATTCATGTTCAGTTAAATTATTTATTAGATATTTAGTTTCGTCTTATTTATTTCAAGGGACTCGGTAATAGACCAGAACTTGTCTCCGAAACAACCTTAGTAACAGACCCGATACAAGTCTAAATTTCATGTATCAACAATAAAGATATTTCAGAACTCGTGCCACACTGTGGCTAAGGAAGGAACTAGATGATCACCTGACTGAATAATGCAGGGATGAAGATGGATTTATTTTATTTTTGTTTGAATGCATCCCTAGCAGTGCAATATGAGCTAAACTTTAGTTTTATGTGCGCTTGTCCCTAACTACTATCGCAGTGCTGTTTGCCTGAGACAAGATTTTATCCTTGAACCCTCGTTATAATGGTATAAACAATACACCTGATAAGCACTAGCCGCGTAATGGGTTTCTCTGGCGCACAGAACAGCAATGTTCAATTGTTTGCACTAGACTCTGGATGAGCGTATAGACGCCTATGATAAAAAGAATAATACGTAAGCGTAACCTACGCTGTGGCTTTTTTCGGTGACCAAGAACTCAAGGGCTCGGTTTGTTGTGTCAGGCAGCTATTGTCGATGTTATGACCAAGGTTGTGGTCATTAGAAAACTATAACTTGTGTTGGGAGTTTTTCATTGCATTGTATGTGTACAACGCGCGCATTTGCTGAACAACGGATGCTGAACTACAATGACTTTCATATTACTATCCAAACTATTATACGGCTGAATAACTGCTGAATAGTCTAAATTCAATTCGAGCGACGATTCTGATACGTTTATTTTTTTAAATTCTTTCTCTGATACAAGTCGGTTACAATCGTGAAAACTTTCGATTTATGTGAAGTCAATCTTTGTGTTATGGAATGTGTTCTATATTATTTCAGCGCTTGCATATATATTATTTTATTTCCATGGAAGGTAAAATGAAGTCTTAGCAATAAAGTCTTAGCTGTTTGATGTTATTCCGTGCATGGCATGAGATAAAATCAACTACCGTAATACTGTCAACACCAACATGGATCAAACTAGTCGTCGGTGCCGGCCAAGTGACAACATTGATGTTCTTCCTCCTGAACACGTTGCTGCTGCCACGCTGAGGCTGTGCGGTGACAGTTTGCGGTGACGTACGTACCGCTACCCTCCATCGTTACTGATGTGACACCGACTCCACCGGTCCCGTAACACTGATGGCTTTGGCTTATGTCCTTTCCTTCAGTTCAAAGCGGTTTAGAAAACAACACGAGAAAACTAAAGACGTTGACAGAAAACGAAAATACTTGCTCAAGTTTTGCTTGAGTCCTCAATTGGTCTAGACACTTGGTTGCGTTGATGCGTGACTGATTTCTTCCAGGTTTTCTAGTGCAACTTGACGTGCGAAATTACGGTGCGAGGAAAGAAATAATTCTGCGGCAACCAGTTGAAGACTTCGCAGTTATTCTTTAGATTTTACGTTTGCATCAGAAAGTGAATATTTCTTTGATTATTCTAAGCATCTGCGTTGCGTTATTTTTACAATACGAGACCATATTGTAAGCTTTGTCTTGATTGGCGAAAAAATCGAGACTATTTTCATTCAACTCTTAGTAGAAACCCGGGATGATACAGAGACGAAACGAGACTTCTAGGGCAAGAGGTGCTGACCAATTACCCGGAATTCACATTTTTTCATCTACCAATTACTTCTCGATATTAAATAATTTATATTCAGACATTTGTGCAGTGTTTTAATACTTAAGCGTTCTCGCGTTCAATTGTGAAATATACGCGTATATAATTTATGCCAATTCCCCAGAGAGTAGGTAAAGCCTTGTGATATTCCAAAAAAATCAAAAATAAAATTTCGCCAAGTGTTTTCTAAGCTTAGTCAAATCTAGTAACGACAATTCCTGTACAGTTGTATTGGGAGCCAAATGTCGCCAAATACTCAACTGCTTATTAACAGTTAACGGTTTTACTTGCTGATCCGAAATGCTCCCTTTAGGAGATTTCGTTTTGTCTCGTATCACATATAGTAAAATGTCTCGTATCCTTACATATGTCGTCTCGTCATGTCTCGTTCCATATACCCGCTACACTATTCTTAAATTCCATGACACGATTTTTGCCCCGATTCATAATTTAAGTCCGTACAAATTTTGCTTTGCCTTGTTTTTTCCGCACATTTTTGTTTCGTTATGCTTGTCCTGGTTACAATCGAAAAGATGTGGTTTATATTATTCATGTAAATTTGGTCAATCAATTTGGTTGATAATTTCTTCGAAATTTGGCTGTTGATTTTGCTCTGTTGTGAACATATCTCTCCGCGTGTTATGTTTTAACGTAGATTGTCTAATAGCAAACGGGTCAGCAAAAAGCGCTGACGTCTACGGAAACAACTTCAATTGCGATATCAGATTTACTTTTCGCGGCTTGTTAAAAATATTCGCTATAAAATTCTAGACACGATTATTTTAATCCGCCTTTGTAGTAGATGCCTTGCTCGTGGGCTGAAAAACTCGTACACTGGATATTAATAAGCTTGAGGCCTGCAAAAACCGGTGCACGTAGTTAGCTGCACCTGGATTAATTAGGCGGCTGCGCAGCTGTTTCGTGGTCCCAATTTTTGCAAATTTGACGCACATTTTTATGCATTGTGGTGCTGGCATCATATTTATCGATGATATCAGTGGTTATGATCGACGCATTACTCTTATTAAGAAAATTGTATGATAAGCCAATGACCAAGATAAAGCAATTACTTGGGTTTTCTAGTTACTAGCGATAGTGTGCGTTGTGTAGAGCGTCATGAGCGCCATGCTCCCTGCAGCATGTGCGCTTATCTGGAGCGTGTCCGTGCGTGGCAACGCTTACTTCGACAAGTGTGGGTGAAAGCCATGCACTCATACGCCTGCCATCGTCAATGTTTTCTATCATACTACCGATCAAATTTTATGAGCTATCGTTATTCCACTTATAAAATTGCACAAGATCAACGAAAATTTTTCATATTTTTGTTTAGTGCTTGGAATAAAGCGTGAAAGTTTCTGATAACTCTGTTTAAATTTACCTATAACCCTGTTTAAATATAGAACCTGCATAGGTTAGCACTATATGATTATTGTATGTTCCAGCGTAACGTAGGTAGCACTGAAAAGTAGCTGTGCAACTTGTGAATGAAAATTTATGATTCTCTTGTCTATCATGCATTATTCATGAAAATTATTTACATTTTATATTCTTTAATATTCTTAAATTTTTTGTTGCAGGCGAAGCAGCGCGCATCGGTGATGTGGATTGTCCAGAAAGCGAACAAGAACAAAGTGCCTGCAGAATACCAAGACCCTTATTACCGGGACCATGAAGTAAGTCGTCGTTTTCTGCTCATTTAATGTACTTAGCGGCTGTACTTGTCTTTGCCAGGATAAACGAAATAGCTTGGCAAACCATTTTTAAGTTTTTCATAGAAGTTCATTAAACTTTTTTTTTCTCGAAAAATGTGACCCGCAGATTGATTGCGTGTGAGACGAATATTTGCTAAATTGTCTTCAGGTGGCTACTGCAGTTATGTTGTAATGATATGTTTTTCCTCCTTTCGTCTCTATTTTCGTCTTGAAATGCTGGTATTGCATAATATTTTATTTCTTACTATTACTAAACAACGCTGTAGTAATTAAATTGTCTTCGGGTGGCTACTGCAGTTATGTTGTAATGATATGTTTTTCGTCCTTTCGTCTCTATTTTCGTCTTGAAATGCTGGTATTGCATAATATTTTATTTCTTACTATTACTAAACAACGCTGTAGTAAATTCTTGTTTGTGTGAAATTATGATTCATTTCGGTCTTATAGGATTGCCACTCTCGCGAGTTTTCATATATTTTATAATATAGCTTTATTTTAATTGTGCAATTCTCCTGTATGGAAACTGTGCACCACTCGTCATCACTCCTGCATCTTTTGCCGCATGGTGGTTGCTGTAATATGCTGTATTTAATCAGTAAATTTGTGTTAATTAGAATGTATTGTTTTAATTAGAATGTATTATTTTAATTAGAATGTATCGTTTTAATTAGAATGCACTGTTTTAATTAGAATGTATTGTTTTAATTAGAATGTATTCTTTTAATTAGAATGTATTCTTCTAATTAGAATGTATCGTTTTAATTATAATGCACTGTTTTAATTATAATGTACTGTTTTAATTAAAATGTATTGTTTTAGTTAGAATGTATTGTTTTAATTAGAATGAACTGTACAGGGTCGGGAGCACCTGAAGCCTGGCATCATAGCTCAACTGGCCAACGCAGATCTCTACTGCTCGGCGCTGGCCAACATTTATGGCGACCCTCACTTCTTCAGCCTCAGCCACTGGAAGGTGATCCAGGCGCTTGCCAGGAAGGGCGTGTATGTCGCCGAGCCCACGGATGTCGCGCTCAATGAGACCATCCTACTGCAGGACTCCCCTCTCAAGATGGTACGAGGCGACTAGTTGTTCCTTGCGCCTGATTAATTTAATGAACGAGAACGATGCTTGGGAAATTCTGCTTTTCACCTATGGAAATTTATCGAGTTCTTTCGAAAATTTATATAAATGTTGTAAGGAATGTGACTAACTTTTTTAACAGGTTGAGTGTGATACGTCCTATCGGTGGGTTGTAGTGTTGGCGGATGTTTTTTTTTTTGATAAATCCTGTGATTTATTTTTTTTAATAGCATTGGCCGAGAAATTGAATTCAATTGTAATTGAATTTAAAAAAGTACAAAACAAAAGAAATTGCTACCTAAAACTCGTTGGTTTTAATTAAGTTTTGAAAACCCTTATAAACAAGATAGCCCTTCAATTGAAATCCATTTTCATAGTGAAGTCTGAATAGAATTTCTCATCTTTAGTCCTCGACAAGCTTCCGTTTTGTACGGGAAAGGTGTTCATTTGCAAGTGGTTCAGGAATTATCTGTAGAGCTATCATTCTCATACTATCTTTCCACCTTCACCTTAGCGATGAAGATAGAAATCATTAATACATCGAACTACATTAATACATACCTAATACATTAATACATCGGAAATTATTAATACATTAATTATTATTACATGGAACAGTAATGAATGTGTATTGTTTACAGTCGGCGCATCTGGCGGTGATAGAGGCGATGATGGCGCTGTACATCCGTGAGGTGGTGGTGGCAGAACGCGTCGTGGCGACGCTGCAGAAGATCTCAGGACCTAACAGCACGCACGCCGCCCCACAGGACCAGGAGGAGGCCCTCGTGCTGTGGGTGGCTAAGGTCACCAGCGCCCTGCAGGAGAGGATAGCCGCTCAAGTTACCGACGTGAGATCCTTTGATATGCAAATAAGCTCAACGCTCAATGAGAATTAGTCGAAGAAAAACACATGAAAAAATGATACGCTTAACCTTGAACAAGACGGCAAACTGTGTTTCTCGCAAAAGCTCGTTTTTTTTTTTAATTTCGTGGTATTTCTTTGTTATCTAAACATTTAAGCTCCTGTTTTCTCTCCGATAAGTTTCTGTTCATAACCATTCGTGCGGTTTTGAACTTCTGAATTAGAATGTTAATTTTACACTTGTATTGTCTAGCTGGAAAGTTTTCGGCTGTGTGCTAAACAGTTCATCCGATAAGTTCTTACCAATTAACACCTGCTACGCTTATTTGAAAGTTTTTCTTGTTAGACTTCCTTCAATTCTTTCAAAATGATTTTGAGTCGTATATAAAATTATATTATATGAATCGTCTATACTATTAGTAAAATACATTCAGAATTGAATAGAATCACGCTGTAATACGAACATAGTGAATTATTTAAAAAAACTAGAGTTTACGTTGTATACTAGAGGGATTTACTCTATAAAAACGAATAAAATATGTATATTTTTTTATAACCACTGCTGGTAATGTGTAGGTATTTAAAAGTTAAACGAAAAAAATATGTATATATATCTTATAACCACTGCTGGTAATGTGTTTACTTAAAAGTTAAACTAAAAAAATATGCAGATTTCTTATAAGCAATACTGGTAATCTATGTATTTGAAGGTTAAACTAAAAAAATATGTATATTTCTTATAAGCACTACTGGTAATCTATGTATTTGAAGGTTAAACTAAAAAAATATGTATATTTCTTTTAACCACCGCTGGTAATCTATGTATTTAAAAGATAAACTAAAAAAATATGTATATTTCTTTTAACCACTGCTGGTAATGTGTGTATTTAAAAGTTAAACTAAAAAAATATGTATATTTCTTATAACCACTGCTGTTGAATGTTTATATTTAAAAGTTAAAGTGAGACGCGTTGACAGGACGGACAGCAGTTGCCGGAGTTCCCCCGTATCCAGGACCTGAGCGACCTGAGCGACGGCATAGGACTAGCTGCGCTCATCTCGTACTACTGTCCGCACGAGCTGCCCTGGGGCGATATAGCCGTCGCTGACCCCCCCTCCATGGCTGACTCCCTCTATAATATTGGACTAGTTATTAAGTTCTGTCATGAGGCGCTGCCTTACAACCCATGCCTCCTTACTAAAGAAGATATCGTCTACATGCACAGGTGGGATGCGTAACTTTATTGTATTAAGCATTGCATCATTGAAGTTTAGTTCTTTGTGAAAAAACATTGCTCTGTACTTTTTTATTCGATTTTAATGAATAAATAATATATATACGTTATATTGTGTGAAGTTTTAATGCGAGTTCAATTGCGATGACTCAGCTTTGCTCAATTAAAACACCGAAAGCCTTTATTCAGTGCGGCTATGTTTGTGTTGTGTAACATTGAACATTTCCCTCGTATTGCAGTAGTGTGAAGCAGAACGTGCTGGCGTTCGTGACGGAGTTGTTCTTCCTCCTGGAGCTGCAGCCCGTGGCCTGTGTCGTCACCAACACGCGGAGACCTTCCAGCAAATACGCCTCTCCGTCTGGTACGTTTAACCCTGACTATTTTACTCAAACAAGGCTAAATCCGCGCCTCTGCATGGATTTTATTATCCAAACTAATGAAAAGAAACTGTCATCTTGGGGGTAAAAGTTTATATGAATTTGGTGGTAAGGCTGTAAAAGAATTGCACTCATTTTTGGATATTCTCCTGTATAGTTTGTGCTAGTTTTAGATATGGTGAATTTGGTCGTGTCACGGTTGGATTTGTACACTTATGGTTTATTTCTGTTCTTTTCTAATTATATTCTTCTACTTCATATTAATTGGAGGCATAATCGGTGAAATTAACAGCGCGTGTATGTCATGGGGCTCCCGTTTTCTCCCTGCCTTGAAATGGACGGATTGTCAACTTCATAGAGAATCTAAAAGCCTTTCTTAGAACTTTCGTAATATAGTCGCACTAAATTTGAGATCACTAGCTTAAGAACTAGACATAGATCTCTTTGCGATTACCATTTCACATCTTTGTCTCCTCGGAATTTTACTCTCCGGTTCATAATGAGGACCAACTTACTTGGCCAATCTTTCGAGTTCATACCGATACTCCCTCTTTAGTACCCTCCCGTTCATCTCAGTTCCTCTCACTGCACCCAAATCTTAACAAAATCGTGTGAGTTGATTGAATATTGTCGCGCCTCGAGGAACTTCACTGGAAGAACTTCCAATACATTTCATCAATGAGGAAGACGTATAAAATTTCCTTGTTCTGTCTGGAAGTATCTTGACGCTGAAAATGACTGCAGTCTGTGGGTTATCGAGCTCTTGAAGTGCTCTAATATAAATGTACCATTATCGTGTATCCGAAATGTTTACTTTTTTCACTTCAGAGTGTAAAGTTCTTGTAAATTAGAGACTTGCGTGTGGTGCGCGTACGTGGAGCTACAATCTACTAGCCATCGTTTGTCCTTTGTTCATTATCTTTTCTGACAAGCCTGTTACCCTATTTCAATTGAACTAATGCTTCTGTACATGTTGAAAAAATATTCTTTTTAAGGTTTACGCTTCTGCTTACTAACTCTTTAAGTAATTAACCACTGGACAGCAGTTCGTTTGTTATGCTGACTTTGATGTTCATGCCCCGTCACACCCGGCAACGCTCCTGTTCAAATATCTACGCCCGATCGAGAACACTACTGCCTGTTGAACTTGAGTTTGTAGTTGCTTTCTTGGCTCTTAACAATCATCGCTCAGGTCCTTCTTCGGCCCGCTCTACTGGGTCCTCGATGGCTTCATCTTCTTCATACTCGGGCCAATCTTCTTCGGGACACAGAAAGGCGGGCCACAAACGTTCTGGGTCCTACACTCAGACTTATAGAGGTGATGCGCACCTTACGATAAATGGCCTTTATTCTTGTGCGTGATGGAACACATCTACGAGAGTCGCTTTAAGCTTGAATTTGTGAGGTTGTGTGTATGTTTCTGACTGGAAGGATGTGCTTTGCGTGGCTTGTGGCTTATGATTGCGGAGTGATAATGCAGTATATTACTGATTTATTCATCCTATTGCGCTTATACAACTGGTGAAACAGTGAAAATGTCATGTCTCTAAATTGTTACGCATTACCTGTCCAGTGTCCAATGTTCGTTGCCTTCCTTGCTGCTTATTTATAAGTCGTTTTCAAATTATTTAAAACTCGCCCGTTAAAGAAATCAAATTTCGTTTCATACATCGAGTATACGCTTCACTCTATGGACTTCCGGCTGGCATAATCAGTCTCAGTCGCCAAGGCTATCTGCTAAATTACTCGAACGATCAGAATCATTCACTGAATTTTATATTATATTCTTCTAAATTCTCAACTCTCGAAAATCATCCACTACTCCCACAGCATGTTCGATGAACATGCATTCTGAAGCATTAAATATCCCTGCGAGAGAGATGCGAGTTTGCCGTGTCGGAAAAGTGAGCGACAAGAAGCGTGTGTTTGAGGGCCAATTTTTCCTTTACTATGTGTTGTCATGTGTCGTCTCCTGCCTCATTTTACGCCTGTACTAACTTTTCCTGTTCAGTTTCTGCTCCGCCTCATTTATTTCATTGTAGCTCCTGCATTTAAATGTGCGCTTCCGTACGACCGTTTTCTTGTCACGTCTGTCTCTTCTATAATCTTGCAATCGTGGACTGTTTTGGTTTTTCAGATATTTTTTATTTTGTTTATCAGCGTCTCACATTTGTCTCCTTTGGTTCACAAACATTCATGGGATGGCCTTGCCATACTGGGAGTGAACTGTTCTTCCTATGTTATCGGTAGTACCTTTTTTTCCTTCTATTTTTTTTTCTAAAACATTACTTTATATTTCAGATTATATTCTAGGGTATTTATTTCATTTAATTAGCAATATTTAGAATGTTAACTATGTTTTACATTTTTGAGTTTGCTAGTTTTCATTGACGCCATCTCTGGCTGCATTTGATACTCTAGGATGCAAGCCTTGCTCCTCGCCGAGCAAAGACAGCAGCTCAGCTGAACGCAAGAACAGCGACTGCGAAAAAGATTCCAGTCCTAGATCAGGCACCAGTGCGGCGCACTCTGACGACACAACTCACACGTCATCTGGAAACCAATCCTCCCACGCACCCATTGACATGAGACGACGATATTCTCAAGAGGAAATAGCTAGTGGCGCTGGCAGTGGACTGAAGCGCCGACTCTCGCAAGGTCCCGCTGACGAAAACGATGGCTCCGGGAAGTGCTTCCAGCGCCGGGACTCACGCATTGCTGTGCATGACGGTAATAAATACTCCTTCATCGGCATCATCTCTAACTCACCCAACCTACCTTAACTTGATTCTTATGATGACTCACAAGCAACACAAACTTACCTGTGTGCATCTTAACAATCTCACCAACGTGGAACAATTAACAATTTCGACAGTATAAAACAGCGACTTACAAGTAACAATCTCGTGGATTTGGAACCGCTACTTACAAGTAACAACTTCGTGAATTTGGAACCGCTACTTACAAGTAACAATCTCGTGGATTTGGAACCGCTACTTACAAGTAACAATCTCGTGGATGTGGAACCGCTACTTACAAGTAACAACCTCGTGGATTTGGAACCGCTACTTACAAGTAACAATCTCGTGGATTTGGAACCGCTACTTACAAGTAACAATCTCGTGGATTTGGAACCGCTACTTACAAGTAACAATCTCGTGGATTTGGAACCGCTTCTTACAAGTAACAATCTCGTGGATTTGGAACCGCTACTTACAAGTAACAATCTCGTGGATTTGGAACCGCTACTTACAAGTAACAACCTCGCGGATGTGGAATGACAACTTGAGAATAACCTTCAAGTTGAGCTAACATCGTCTGGATTCCTATCGAGAAACTAACAAATGTTCTTGTTCTAACCTAAAGTTTTCTAGTCCGTCTTGTCTGATGAAAGTTACCTACAAGTAATTTACCAGAGAATTTTTTCTCATTTTTTTAGCGTTGAAAAGTCGGGAACTATTAGCTTGATATACTGGACGTCCATTCCCTTCACTTTGATCTTAATCAGCTAAGTGGACAAACTTCTAATTTGGTCAATATCTAGGGAGTGAGTAGGGACACCGTACCAAGTTCTCAGTTGTGTTAATTTTTTTATTTAAGTTGCTATTTGTTTTATTTAATCTATTTCTTCTTCATTTTTTATTGTGTCTTCCGTTTATTTTGTCTGTGAGACTGTGGCTGTCCATTAATGTGTGTTATGGCTCACTGTTGGTCCTTTATACATCTAAGTTTAAGATAAGGATTAAGAATTAGTTTTGTAACATTTGCGTTCCGCGTGTAATATTTATGATTGTATCTTGAAAGTAAAGTGTGCGTAGCTGTGAAATGTAATTTATTGTGTGAAATTCTTGTTGAACTTGTGCTAACCTTCTTCGCCCCGTCCTCTCTCTCTTCGCTGCTCGCCTTGGCATTGCCTTACTATGGACTTCATTTCCTGTCCCCATGACGCTGCGTCACGCCCATGCTCCCGCTTGCACATCTTGTCGGCTCCTTTTCCTGGTGACAACTGCCGCCCTCTTGTAATGGCCCAGCTGTGTCTTCCTGCTATGACCCCTGCTGTGGCTATTGACGCTAACTCTGCACCGCATTGGCTAATAATGCTCAACGATGACGTCTTATTTCTATGAATTGAAGCCCCGATAAACCACTTCTACTTTCAATTCATCGTCGAGGTTTTATATCCTTGTGAGCTGACACAAACAATACCGTTAGCGATGACGCCACTTCTGAAGCAACCAATGGAGTATCTCTGTCATAACTCTGACTGCTCGTGACGGCAATATTTAATTATTCATTGGAATATCTGCCAACGCAAGTCTTCATTACTCTCTACGTGTGCCACACGAGATGGGCTCACAGGCGGTAGCCCCGTAGACACTCGGTCTGAAGGAGGACGCCCGCGCAGCAGCGAAGCGCCGCCTGCAACAAGCGTGGGCTGGGAGAGCTCCTATCCTTCTTGGTGGTGGAAATGTGACCATCCTGAGAACGATAAAGATTGCATGTACTGTTGGAAGCGCCATACCTCTCGCCCGTTTGTGTCTCAGTACAACTTTTACGCCAACAATCAGCACGGGAAACGAGACGGTTCACACACTCCCGTGTCTGTGGACGGGCGCGAACTGCCTCCACTAACGCACAACTCGCTACAGCAGCGACCTGCAGGAGGAGGTGGAGGTGGAGGCCGGCCTTACGGTCAATATCCTCAAGGAATTAGCTACACATTGCCCGCTAGATCAGAGTCTAGTCGCAGTGTGAGCCACGTTCATAGCTCATCTAGATCACGGAAGCCTATCCATCACCCGCCGGCTGGCTACCGCAACAGCCACCCTGGGTTCTCTGTAGGTGGCTATGACCCTGAGTACCTGCAGTACCAGCATCACACCAGCCACTATGGTGACGGCCAGACCAACGGCTACCAGGGTAACTCTTGTACTCACGTCTGCTGCCGCTGCCGCCCTCCTGCCTGCCTGCAGTTTCCTATGATTTATCACTCGTTTTACAATAAGATTACCTTGAGTTTTTGGGAAAGATTGTCGTAATCACCATTTTTAGCGATTTTTGTTGCCCACGTTTAATTTTGTTTTGCGATGAAATTCACTTATTTTGTATAGAACTGCTTTACTTGTTTTTCCTCAGCCTAAGTTCTTATTGCGCTGACAATTTGTTTCGTATTCTACGTAACTTTCTGTTCGAGTTAGTAGCACCTCCGTAAAAGCTTCTCATTTATGCCTGATGTTCATTTTCAAGATACTACTATGTTCCAATCATTGTATTGTTCGTTGCTAATTGCGCTCTTGACTTGCGCAATACTTTACTACAGTATAAACTAGTTACGGAATTTTAAGGTAGAGTTTCTTCTTGTTTGTTTATGCCACTCCCTCATCCTCCTGACAAGCAGCAGCGGCAGCAGTTCACTCAATAGTAACTATCACTTAGCGTTGGTCTGGTCTCTCACAAATGCACTGCCTCATTCTCTGGCATTTAAGCGCAATTTTGTCTCACGACTCGCGTTCCACGCACAAATTTCTTTTTCCTTATTTACGCCACGACAATATTCAGTTTGATTATTAAACGCGATGTTGCTACATTCACCATTATTATTCATAACGAGTGTGAATTTTTGTTGGAAAGCCTTCACGCGGCATATTCTTATCCAGCCATTTATATCATTCTCTTACTTTCTTTTTCGCTTACATGATGAAAAAAACATGTCGCTCTCGGAGGAGAAGCTATTCTTTGTTGAGCTGCTGCATTGCCTCCGTACCACAGACCAACAAGCTGCTGCCGTTGCACTTGCCAATTTAAGAGTACCATATTTATGATTCGTTTGAAATTGTATGTACTTCTAAACGTGCACTGTGTTCTCACTTATTCTATCTTTTTTCAGCTCGTATTTTGTTTCAAGGATTAAAATGAAACCCAAATTGTCGCATGGTTTCGTTCATCGTTTGTTCACCATTCATTTTTGTTGTAAAAATAAGAAAAATGTTCTGCGAGTGATTTCACAAACCATGCAAACCTAATAACTGTTGTACAGGTTGCTGCTTCTTTCTTTTTTAATTTTCAGCTATGTACATTGTCGCAGATTTCTCATAAAATTAAGAAAAAAATATTGCACAAATTTCAAATTTTTTCATAGTCTCCATTGCTTATTCAATAGCCTTACGTGTGTTTAAAATGTGAATATTCCACGGTTGAACGTTGTCCTTCATTTTATACTCTCCACCTGAAATATTTCAATCTAGTTTCTTATCAGTATTACAAGCGATTATTAGATGCAAGTCACCCACGAGTCTTGCTTGTGTGGGAGTTACACGAGTTTGGTGTGTTAACTGCTCTCTGTATATTTATTGATATCTACATAATCGAAATAAGTTTATCATTCTCCTTATCCCTTTAGCGGGCAAGCATTGAAATATCCAGAAATTAAAATTTCAGAAACCATTTCAAGAAAGTAAGAAGTATTATACAATATATTTATTTCTATGAATTTTTGCAAATTTTGCCTATTGAAGGTTTAAATCGCACTTGAAGAATTCAATAAATGCGATCAGTTCACAAAATTTTCCTTTATAATTAAAATTCAGTTTATGCAAATGAAAAATTAGAAACATAAAAATTTAATTTAATTAAATTTAATCAAGTTGCCAAAATAAATAAATATATATATTGATACATCCAAATTTTGAAGAAAATGCGGAAAGAGCGTCAATTCCATTGTCCGAGTCAAAACCTTCATTTAAATGCTTATATTTCAATTTGTGGACTTTGCAGCTGGTGATGCTATAGATAGAACGATGGTCAGATAATTAGTGATTGACTGAGGCTTTATAAGGATGCCTCAAAAACAAACAGGAAGCCGTGGTGAGGCTTTTTGTGACGCGATTTCAAGTGATCATATATGGTAACTTACCCGTGAAAGGGTTATGCAGTAATTCATTTATATGTACTCATCATTTCTGTAACACGTGCCAGAATATTGAAGGCGACATTAAATATGATCTGATATCATTTGTCGCAACAATCGCATTGTCATGTCACTGTTTCAAAACTGTGATCAAACCCTGCGCGTGTGATCCTGATGTTTCGTTACGTTTCTACGTTCTCCTTTGTGCAGTGTCCGACTATGTACTGATTTTTTCTAATTTTATAATTATTATTTTTCGTTTGCTCCCTTCATAACCTTCAATGTGCTACATTCCAGATTGGTAATAAAATCTCTTATAATTTTTAACAGCTTTTATGCACAACGAACTACTTATCGTGATTCTTCCCTCATTATCTCTCATTACCACAAGTTTACCGTTGTTTACAGGGCTTTCTTTTCATGCGTTCACTTGAAGTGATATAATTGTTGTGTTGCCTTAGGCATGCGACCGGCCGGCGCTCCGAGCGTGCGTCGGAGTCACTCCATGACGCTCCACGACATGGCCAACGAGTCTGGCGGTGGCGTGGCTGTCGGCAGAAGTCGGCTGCTCGACAACACGCAACACGACAACGTCGGCTCCAGTCATAGCGATTATGGCGGCCGGGAGAGGTAAGCGACTTTCTGGTTGAATATATGGTTGCGATTTCTGTCTTCATAGCCATTGCATGTGAAAATCAACCGTCTAAATTGTAGAGTAATTTCATTTATATTTTAGTAAAGATGATGATGACGACCCGTCAACAGTTCGATGAGTGATGGTCCGGACGGCGAGTTCGTGGTGCAGAGAGCTCGCGGCGTGTCGACGCTAAGCGACATGATCAGAAGTAACCGCGACATGGACGCTCATCACCGCGACCGTGGAGGTGGAGGTGTTGCTGCTGGTGACAGCCACGAGGCTTCCAACTGGTACGAGGCACGAAACAGACGTCAAGACGACGACACGCGCTCTCGTATCAGTCAGGAGGACGATGACATCAAGATGTACCGGAGAGACAGCCAGTATGGGTCCATACAAGACCTCCAGCAGACTGAGAAGCTGCCTCCCGCCGGTATGCCCTCGAGATTCGAGAATAGACCTCAGGGGCGGTCGAGATCACGAAGGAACTCCATCAGTGCTGAGGAGTCTCAGCTCACTGTTGAGAATTTCGGTGGTAGCCAAGATAATCTCAATGACTACATCACTAGAAACAACGACAAAGAACCTGCACACATTGGTAGAAGGGATAGCAATCCTCGACAAACGCCGCACCAGATCGACAACAGAGTCCTAGACAAGTTAGAAAGAGAAGCTATAGAGCGGGAGAAACGGGAGTTTATGTTTGGTAGTAAGAACGCATTTTTTACCGAAGATCCACCATCCTACGAACCTCCTGTCCCGCCCAAGTCTCAGAAGCAGAAGCAGCCTGACTCGTGCAGTGAAGATAGCGACATATCCTCTGACAAGGAGAAGCTCTCAAAAGCCACCAGCTTTGCTGAGCTAAGTAAAGTCAAGGAACAAGGTAGCAACATTAACGTCAGCTACATGGCGGGCGAGGAAAAAAGAAATGATCTCAGAAATAACGACAAGAAAACCTCTTTCGCTGCGTTACCAAACCAAACAACGTGGAAGCAGCAAATTGTACAGAGTCAACCGAATGACAAAAATAATGGAGGTTAGTGGATATCTCTTTCTGAACATTAGGAATCTGTGACATTACAGAGTTTTTTTTACCAAATCTCCCATGAGCTAATTTGATGATATCCTACCCGATATTATAGGAGTTCTATCCCGAACACAATGGCATTATGCCTTCCATATTATCTCGATGTATGCAGATACTAAGTGATATTAATTGCGATTTGAGTATTTACGATTGAGAGAAATTCACTTAACTTTCTTTAATCTCAACTTTCGTTTGTTATTACTTGCGTTTTGTGAATTATTTATTGTCCTTTTATCAGGCTAAATGAATTGTTTAGTATACCATGAGATCGTCTTTCTGGTTTTTTATCTAGATTTCTCTGGATGTCGAGAATATATTTAATATAAGGTTTGTAGCAGAAGCAGCTAAAAATTGTCGTAGCTTTGACGCGGCTCCTTGATAGCAGTCACTCCCCTAACGTAGACTTAGGAATCTTTAATGTTAAATCAACAGTATTGTGTTGAGAAAATTTTCATCGTCACTGACTTTATTTACTACGTGCTATTTCACTTCCATTAGTATTTATAGTCGTAGAATTAAGAAAACTTGAAATGTTGATTATTTAAACTAACTTGGAAGATTTTTTTGCAACTAACTTGAAGGTTTGATGGTCTTGCAATCACGTGCAGATGGCAACATGGAGCCACAAGTGATGGAACCTGAGCTGCATAACGTCCTCCTCAAGCTCGAGGAGAAGCGGCGGCAAATCGAGAGCGAGAAACGCAAAGCCGAAGTCAAGTTCACCAAACAGCGACAAAAGATGGGCAAGGAGGCTTTCATGCAGGCCGTCCTCCAAGGGGTGAGTGTCGTCAACGAATATTTCTTAACAAAAAACTTGAGTTTTGACTTTGTTCCTCATCTCCGTGACATCTTAGCCGGTGTAGACTTTAAGCCTATCACAGCATATGGGCAATAATTTGCTAGAAGCCTTCGGTGCTTGCTGCTGTGGATGCTTGTGATTACGTTCATTCTTGCCGGATTCTTGTGGGGTTCTTGATGCAAGTTCTATAATAATCGATCTACTTTCAGCTGCAGGTTACCAACTTAATAGAACAAATGAGCGTTGGAGCTGAGAACAATCAGCGTCGATTGGTCGATTTTTTTAATTACTTTACTTCAAACTGAGTGTCCTTTACCGTTTCAAGTATTTATGTTCACGTATTTTCCTTTTCGAAAGCGACCAATGCCATCAAATGTTTGAGTCACATTCGGTTAACGTTTGTGTGATCACTTGGCATGAACATGCCAAGCGGTTTATAACTAGGCATGTGTTTGTGATTGAGTCGACACTAATATGTGATGACATGGATGTGTTGGGGCGACATGTCAGGCCCGGGCTGGGTCCAGCAGTACAGGCACCTCGACACCCAACACGACATGCACCACCAACACCTCAGAGCCTGACCAGCAGCAGCTGGACCAGCTTCTGCTGGACTCGCTCATGGTGCTGGATGAGGCACGGCTTATACAAGACTCCAGCTCGGCCGCCCTTGGGCCCGGCGACGCCAAAAGCAATGATAATCTCGCCCCATCCTTGCCAAGCCTCGGGGCGTCGTCCAGAAACAATCTTCAGTTGTCGCTTAAGGTTCCTTCGTGTCTATATTTGCCCTCGCTCCAGTTGTGCTTGTTTATTTCTTTGCCTCCTTCAGTTTTTCAGAGTATATTCGCTTTGCTTCTAGCTTAGCTTAAGTAAGCTAAGTCTCTTACATGTTACTAATTTTTTTGTATCCTATAATACTCATAATGGACGCTCTTGTTATTTCTCCCAGACGATTTCCTCATAAACATTTCCAAAATAATGCTCATTCTTTTCCCAAATTTAAACTAATTATTTTGCGTCCAAGTTTGCTGCAAGAAGGAAATGTGTTGCGATCCGTGACCCATCAACTTGACCCGCGGCTTGATGTGATGTGCTGGCTGCTGTGTTGTACTCTTTACTCATATTGTATGTCTAATGTCATGGCTCCTCGGCTTTATTGTTGGCTTGAATATTCTCAATTTATTTCATATTTATGTTTTGAATTTATTGGCTCGATCAGATTTACTGCAGTGCAATTTATTCGTATGTTTTATAAATTTCAATGTTTGAAGTGTTTGTTTATATCACATTGAACTTTATTGTGTTGTGTAATTATATTATTCCATTATGTGTTAATTAACATGAAGCTTCATAGAATTGAGAGATTGCTATGAACTGTGCTTCGATGACTTGACCAAAGCGTGCTTGTAGAATTCGCGTGCTTCTCTGTCGTATTGCTAGTGCGTCTATTGCTTACTAATATATTGGTTCTGACAACTGAATTTATTGTTCGCAATGTTCCTGTTATTCCGTAATTTTATTTCACAAAAACGCGATACGTTGCTAATAGAGCATGAAATTATTCAAGTTGATTTAATTATTGCTAAGTAAATATGATTTTATTGCTGCCACAAATTCATTGGAGAATTTTCTGGCGTGGATCCCTTGTATTACGATGAACTGTCTTGAACCCGTCTCAGTGGCAACAAGTTTTTTCTTCTGCTTCATGCATTGTAGTCCTTCGCGGAGAGGGAGGCGCTTGAAAGACAGAAGTAATAAAGGTAAAATATTATTTGGAATCCTTTAATGTTGGGGTATGACAAGGCAAGGTAGGGCTTATAATTTCAACGCGAAAAAGTAAAGTAATAATTAGGACCGATAGAGCGCTCAGAAGTTGACTGAGTACCTAAGACTAGATGAATAGTTTTCAGCGTGCTAACTTGGTCATCAATGGGGATTATGGTTTAGCCGGAACCATGCACATTCGTGCCAATAAGTAATCGGTGTATCATTATAATTTTTTAGTGCGCCTAAGAGATTGTTGCCAGTCTCTTGGGCGGTTTTATGTTCATTTTTTTATAGTAACTACTTTAGCGCTCTGTACACGAGGCTTCTCGGTATCTATTTTGACATATTCTATTCGTATTTGTTTTTAATCGAGCAGTAAACCCTTATTGTTGTTGAATGTCGTCTGACATTTGCCATTTTATGTCAACTTAATCATCGTTATTGTGTGTTCTGTTACCCTTCAATTTGATCAACCTTGCGTTCCAGTGCAGGAACTTTTCCGTGTATGATTTGTATGAGCTCTCACCTGTACTGCATGTAACTATCTTAATTTCCATAGATAAGCTTTGCCTACACCAGTGATTTAGTGCAACAAATCTCTTCCTTTATGTATACGGCGTTGCATTTCTTTTGAAGGATTGAAATATCGTGGTAAAATTTCATAATCGTTTATCCTAAATGTTCATCCGTCTCATTATACTCCGTTAGAGCCTCTACTGAAGCAGTTATGTTTATTATTCAAACTGATCGGATAGTGCGGCCATAGCTGTATATAAATGAAGTACCTACATATGGATAGTTACTCGCTGCAATCCTATGAATGACTAAAATATCCCACAAGATAGTTCAAATGACCGTGTAGATTCTTTAAAAAGTATGTGCAAATAAAGGACAACTGTTGTTGTAATATCTGTTCAGAAAATAATGTTAGCGCGTGTTTACAGGAGCTGGGCAGTGACGTGGCTGAGGTGTCGAGGAAGTGGCTGGAGGCAGGCGGGGACGCTGGGCAGCGCTCGCCCAACGTCGACAACGCAGACTACGAACAATACCAACAGTCCGTTCCTGTTGTGGTGATGTGTTGTGGTGTCGTGGTGTGGTAATGTGTTGTTCTGTGGTTATGTGTTATGCTGTGGTGATGTGTTGTGCTGTGGTGATGTGTTGTGGTGGTGTGTTGTGTTGTGTTATGGTAATGTGATGTGTTGTGGTGATGTGTTTGGTGCCGTGATGTGTTTTGGTTATGATGTGTTTTGGTGATGTGATGTGATGTGTTGTGTTGTGGTGATGTGCTGTGGTGTTATGTTGTGGTGCTCTATTGTGGTGCCTGCTGTAATGCAACGCCGCGCTACCACAGCCCACACGTGGGGCCAGGTCTTGGTAATGAATGTTGTCAGTTGTGGCTGAGCTCTAAGCCAGTGAGCGAGGACTATTATTATTATTATTATTATTATTATTATTATTATTATTATTATTGTTAGGACTATTCATAGCCTCACCAACGAGCGTGGCTTATTGTCTCTACACTCAGGGCAAATAAGTGTTGCTATATTGCAAACAATTGTGGTGGAGTTTGATGAGCTCTTGTGTTTTGTGATTTCCATATATTTATTCATTTTTCTTTACAAATTCAGTCAGCATCTACAACATTGTGTCCGTATTTTAGATATCGTAGACAATTTCAGTTAGACCGGTCAGCGAATTGTAATCTTAAATTGTTTAGCTCACGTGTATTAAAAGATGCAAATGAATGATATTCTCGATAAATGCCAGCGGACGGCCGTGCACCGCAATTTGTCGTGTTTTCCACTCTTTCTTGTATTGAACCACCTCCACCTTCTCTTATGTTCTTCACTCCAACAAAACTTCTCGTTTGCTTTCATCAAGCGCCTGCTGCCGTCACTTGCAGTACTACAATTTCTTTCCTCACTATCTATGTTCTCACGTATCTTCTCACTCCTTAATTCTTCACGTATGTTCGCCACTCTTCTCCTCGTCCCACTTTTGAACCCTTTCATTTCGGCTTTCCTCACCCCTTTAACCCCACTCACGTGCCCGGGGTTACAGTCCTCACCCCTTTAACCCCACCCACGTGCCCGGGGTTACAACGCTATGACTCACAAAGCAGGGATTGCATACGCCGGTTCCTAACCTGTAACCTGCAGGAGGAGGGCAGAGGAAGGGGGCGCCTGTACCGAGGTAACGTCTTGTTTTATTTCCTGCTTCATCACATTTCTTCCATGCATGTACTTTTAGTTATTGCACTTGTGCTGGATCTGTCCCATTTCTTCCATGCATGTACTTTTAGTTAATGCACTTGTGCCGGCTCTGTCCCATTTCTCCCCCATGCATGCTTTCTTGGGTCTTGCAGTTTCACTCGTGTTGTTTAGCTCATACGAATTACTTGTCAGTTTCCTTCTATTCTTACAATTTTTCCTTTCTTTCGAGACACATGCAAGATATTTATGAGTGCACCGTCACGCCCACTCTTTAGTTTTGATTCTGTATTCGATTTCTTTTTTCACTTCTTGTTCATCGCTAGACCGATGCCGTAGGCTTAATTTTCATTGATTTGTACATAAAGATGTGTTTAAATAATTTCTTTGCTTTGTGTTGGATTTTCAAAGAATAATCTACCGTTGAACAATTGTTTGCCCATACCACCCAGCTAACGTTTGTGGGATCCTTGGCAACTTCGTTCTGACTCCCACTGTACGGAATTATTTTATAAACTTTTTTTCATCTGATTGCATGCTCCGACTCTCGTTTTTTTAGTTAGACGTTATTGCATTCTCACGAATTACATATTTCTGTCGTGTGGATGAGATTATTATCATTACATTCAACGCAATCGCAACGGGAAACGCAATCAACGTCAAAACTCCACAAGCTGGGATTGTTCTTACCATTGTCGAGATGCTCCACTGCGCAATATTATGAAACTCAAAACAATATAATTCAATGCACAGTGTTAATTTTACTTTAAAGTAGTAATATTTTAAATATTCTTTATTTCCAGTGAGGATTTAGAATATATTTTTGCATTGTCATCTTACCATTTCTTTTGGGACGTGTGTGTTCATATCTGTACATCGTTTGAACTGGGCCTTGTAAGGAGTAATCAACGTTTTAATCATATTTATAGGATAATCTTGGTGTATGCTTTCTCCGTATTTCTGACGAGTGAAGACTTGAGTGATTGGTTAGGTGAAATTCTTTGCATGCTGTACAGTAATGCCACTACCGTTGAATCCAGTAGCTCAATCGCTTGACTTAAACATTAAAGACAAATTTCACCATTGAGTCTAGAGCAAACGGTATGCGTATCATGGATTTATTCTCCAAATTTTAGCAGCTTTTTATTGTGTTCCTTCTATAGCCTAATATATCTTTACGCCGCATCGTCCATGCCATTAACGTACATGCCGCGTATAAAATTGAACTTGATGCCTTTGGAACAATTTCATTCTTGATCAATAATATTGAGGCATTGCTCCTGAGATTACCACTCGTCATGATGAGGACCTGAATTCCATGAGTCTCAGGTTTTGTGGTAGTAGATATTCTTTCTGGTGTACTGTCTACATCGATACAGCGTTCTCGGTACTCGGTACTCACAACATACTAATAAAATCTCCGACCACCAATCATATTCCACCCATGTACTGCGTGGAATATGATTGGTGGAACGTCTTCTGAAATATCCTGTAGAGTTACCTCTGTGCGCTGTATTGACGGTCGTCGGTATAACTAGCAGCGCTGAGCGCATTTGATATTGTACGGTAGTGTTCTATTGATGCGTATCTCGCTGTACCTCACTCCTCTATGCCTCGTCTCGCATGTGCCCTGCAGGGACGCCGACGATAAAACTCTCGTGACGCTTCGTCGCCGTGAGAGCATCGGTCTGGACCTCGCAGGAGCTCCCTTCCTCTCCCGCCCGTCAATGAGAGAAGTCGACCCCAGGCGCTTCAGCCTCTACCTTCCTCCTACGCATGCCAATTTTCCTGCTACTCCTACCCATCCTTCTTCGGCTTCTTCCACACCTACTGCTGTTCCCCCTTACTCTTGTTCGCGGTTGTCCTCGTACGGCGGCGCTTATATGTCCCCCCAGTACCGACGTTTTCCTCCCATTAGGTCGCAGCTCCCTCACTCGAGCTCCTCTGATGTAGCGCCTGCTCACTACCACGACAGGATGAGCGATTCCCTGAGTGAGATACAAGGCGACATCCAGAGACTGTCCTCCCAGCAGCAGCAAATCCAGGGGCTCATCAGGAATGGACAGAATCAGCAGTTCTACCTTCATGACCAGGTGAACGATCACTGCTTCACTTCGTTCCGTCCAGTAATTAATTGATGTTTTGATGTACATAAATTAAAACTCGTAAGAATGATGATAACGTCCTGTGATGTTCCTTCCATGATACACGTAAGAATGATAACATCTTCGATGTACTAAATCTATGGATGAAACTGAACTTTTTTGTATAGCTATTTTCTAATTCGTGATATTTTGTTAAAATAAGAATCAGTTATTCGTTGGTACGTTCGATATTGATATAATATATAGGCACTTTTATTTATTGCGTTGTCTGTGCAACTATTATTCTCCTAATGATCTGTATAGATCAAGCTTTAATCATGGACATTGTCATGTTGAAGCTTGGAAAATCTAACTGTTAAAATTCCTGAAAACGAAATCATGAAAATATTCAAGTGTATTAACGGTGAATGTGTTGTTCAGTCGCCCAGCGGGAGCGGACGACGGATGTGGGGTGACGCTGGCCCCGGTATGGGGGGCGGTGACCCCTACAACTCACCTTCATCACGACGAGCTCAGTGGGGCCCTGTCAGGTGAGGGTTGTAACACTCGTGTACTGCATTCAATTTTTTATATCTGTAAAATACGTTGTTTATTCCTTCGCCAATCTGCGTCAAGCGAGTCTTGGTCGGGTATCTCTTAGGAAATGTGGCTAGACCACGATGCTTTCGGAAGTGAAGGCTGGCAAATTGCTGCAAAACAATTGGTTTATATACACAATCGACAAATTTTTCATGGATGACCATGAAGGCATCCACAAGCAGGCATACTCTTCAGACACTAGCAGTTTTAATCCGTAATTTATTTCTAATAGCTTGTACGTCTTTCCTTCTTTTACACGAGTACCCGATTAATGGTCCCTATAATTTTCCATGAACACCTAATACATGATTACTATAATATGGATGCCTAAATTTCGGTACAGCTATAATGATTTGATATTAATTGAGCATCATGTTCAGGGTGGAAATTCCGAGTCCCTCTTCCTGATATTCAAATTTGTGCTAGAAAAGTTATTTAAAATATGCTTTTTTGAACAAGCAGGCACGCGGTTTTAATTATATTTGTCTATGTAGTTTGATGCCTTAATCTAATATCTACTCTCATTATTTTCTCATCTCTCAAAATTTTTTTCATTGTAATTGCTTTCACACTAAAAACTTTACTCATTCTATTGGTGTACAAAAACCGCTTCAGCTTTTGATTATTTTCATAATTTCCTAGATTTTTTTTTGCATTTTCAAGCTTCTGCCGCAACTCCCTCCGATTTTATAAACGTCAGTTATCTCTGCTTGTGGGCCTATGAAGTATAGGACTGATGGGTATATTGTGTAGCAGGCTTGTCATGGCACGCGCCTATAGTGCTGCCCTGTGTCTGCGGTCCAATATCGCCCCTTCAGTTATACTACTTTCAAAGTATTCAGTCCTGCTCTAGTTCTGTGATGTACTGCACTTTGTTGTGCAGTTTTGTCCCCACTTACTTGATGATTAGCATGGCTTGTGCTCCTTCACGTCATCAAGGTTGTAAATATTCATAAAATTGAACAGTTTTCACTATTGTCAGATGTTAGCCTTCTGAAATTATAGATACAATGCTTTCGTTTAGTTGCCTAACTCTCTAAAAATTCCTTTCTTTTTACTCTCTTCCTATCCTCGTACGATGCAGCTTCTCCTTAGAAAAATAACCACAAATTTGTAAGTAAGAAACGTTATAATGTTTGGACTTGTCGACCTTCAATTATCTTTGAATACCATATGTATATGCCGAGGAAATAAGGAGTTTATTTGATGCCTTGCAGCTCTTGCTGTCGAGCGCTTGACGACGAGACCAAGGGACGTGACAGACTTCGATGTGACCAAAAGCGTGACGTTCATCACTGTGACTTGAAGAAACACGGCAACCTTAAACCTGACGCTAAATCTTCTTATGACTCTCGTAGTGCTGAGAAGCATCGTGACTGCTGTTGTGCGCTGCCTGACTCATGCACGTGTTATACCCGACAAAAACCCATCAAAAATATGCAAAAGAGAAACAAGTCAAGCGAGTCAGCTTCAGTGGCTAAAGACACGGTTAATGGAGCTAGAAACAAGCTGCAAACTAAGAAATTAAAACGGGACGATATGGAGCGCCAGCAGTTTATTCTGGACAGACAGCGTCGACGACAGCGAGTAGTAGTACAGAGCTCTGACCGTAAGAGGGAGACGTCTGGAACACGTAAGCCCCGTAGCCAGAAGCATACAGAGGACAGATCCAAGAGACGGGAAGAGGACGTTAGTGTCTCTAAATCCCGACGCAAGAAAACTTCTTCGACTTCAACTGGGGCTGTTGAGTTAGAAACTAGGGTTGATAAAAGGAAAGATAGCTCCAAGCAACCTCAGATAGGATTCTTCAAACAAATTACTGGCTTCGTGAGGCCAAGTCGGAAGAAATAAATACGACATTTTCGAGTTGTTCTGTAGTCTAGTCTTAGAACAGTTGTCGCTCCTGTCTATTCATGTTGTTCTGTGTTCTTCCCGAGAGCGCTAAAGCGACGATACTTTCTTGTTATCGCAAAAAAAAAACGAAGAACTGACATCACCAGATCACAGTGACATTTACGGTTTTATTTGGTTCGAATATTTCGTAATGTCAATTTTTGACTTTGACTTTTATTCAATCACTGACTGATGAAAAGCGCAAGGACCTCTGTTTAAATCATTACAATATTAGTTTGAATAGTTACAAACATAAGCTTCCAAATACGGGAATCATAGAGTAATACCATCTATTCTCTTCTTAAACATAGCATTAAACATTTCTCCTTCTGCATTAGTTTGATTCCGCCTTCCTCCATGCATATTGCTTTTGTTTCTAGATTGTATGCGCTCTAAGATATTTGTGGGATCATTAATTTTCAGTAGCGAGTTACCTTTGCTATATAGCGCTCGTCCAAAAACCGAAACTATACTCATAAGGTCAAGTCCATTTTCTGTCTGAAGTTCCATGTTTAATGAGTATATATTTAAAATCATCCTTGCTCTGTTATCAGGAGTAGTTTTTTAATTACTCAACTGTTTAACTCGGAGTTTTAGTTATTGTCGAAGATCATTCATATTGCTAACAAATATTTTATGGCCGCGTTTAATTCTACGTATAGCAAATGTCTATTTGTACAGTCTGAAAAATGCTTAACCAATAAAAGACTCAAGACCTGGAGTTTTTATTGCCGTTGACTGTGACTCCATTGACTTACGCCAGTATATCGAACTCAGGTACGTTCTTCGTGACTCCGTTTAAAATACTATAATATTTGGAGTATTACTTGTACTTACCAAGTACTTGACCGGTGTTTTTACTGAGCCTTGCCTGGTCACTGCATCAGCACGCGTAAAAAGCGCATTCATAAATGACACAGTACGGCGAGCTGCTCGTCCATTTGGTATCAGGTTTCGGTCACGTTCTTTACTGAATTTATTTTCTATGGGTTTATATTTCTTCTCGTATTATATAATTTCTCTTATTGTATATTTATATTTCTTCTCTTATTTCAGAGTGTTTCAACGCTCTGTGCCTATGTATAGCTGACAGCCTAAACTGTCGGGTTACGCTGGTGTTTTCCTTTTATTTACGTAGTTTTAATTAAATTTTTGTTGTTGCGCCACCAATTTTATCTTCATCATAAATTTGCTTACTGTTATTGGTATAAACGTCGTGATTATTGGTATGATGGTCTACAATGCGTGGTCATATTGGGAGGTCATCGGGGCTTTACATTTTTATTGGGTTTTACTCTAGTTTCAATTTGTGTTGGGCTCTAGGTATTTTTATTCGGGTGGTCCTTTTGCTTTTCGTTTCGTGTTTGAAATGCATTACTGAATTTTTACCAGTAATTTGTTGGTTCTTCCATCGCTGAATCAATTAGTCGTCAGAAAGTTGTTTCACATTATTGCTTAACATATACGTGTTAACTGAGCACTGATTTTTTTTTTTATTTGAAACTTGGCTGTATTTGTTCTCTTTGATTTTATCTTCTCGGTGTGACAGCCTTGGGTCGACCACGCAGGAGTAACAGTTTAGTTTCTCGCGCGTGTTTTCGCTAATTGGTTTTTATTTACATTGAACCTACATGTATCGGTTCTCTCTTCGTGTTTCTTTTGGTTCTGCACGCAACAGAAGATTTGTAGCCGCGACTATCCGGCAAATGACATGTATGAGCTTGTACACGAAGATAGTATCAAGACCAGTAGACATAATAACGCTAACGCTACTACTTCCCGTGTCATTTGTATCCAGTATAACATTACGCCTAACACTAGCACGACAGCTAGCCGCAGTTAGTACATAAAAGTTATATTGGCCGCCACATCTGTCCTCTTGTACAAGCTTTATTAAAAACGAACGATTTCATCTCAAGAGCATGAGTCAGGAACTCATATGGTGTGCGATATTTATCTAGAAGCATTTATTTACATGGAAAGCTTCAAGCGACTCATTTATTTCTGCTGCAATTGAAACATATTATATTCTGGAATTGGAATATTCGTCTCATTCGAATGCTATGCTCAGTCTTCACCACAGCGCTCCCCGGCACTAGCTGCCACTAGTTAACTGGACGCTTCAATATTATCCTTCCAGCGTTAATTTCCAGCGATTTGGTGTAGCTTCAATTGTCTCGAGTTCTTATTGCAGTTTCACTCAAGGTTGCATATTCGTGTTATCTTAATATTATATTTTAGTTTGCTTTCATGTAGAACTATTTCTTTGGCTGCACTTAAGGCATAATCTTGAAGTTATCCTTCCTCATCGAACTTTCCTATTCACAATTGCATCCTATCGGTCCTTCCTTACAGCTTGTTTTGTGCGCTATTCCTGAGCAGGTGTTGGTACCGAGAAAAAATGCGTAGCTTATTTGCCCATGTGTCTGTCTCCACGGGAAACCTATGTGTCTGTGCCTGTGTCCCAAAAATGCCTATGTGTTTGTTCCCACAGGCCGCCTCATGATTACTACCAACATCCTGGATACTACGGCCCTCCTGGCGGCTACCAGCCTCTGCCCTCCCTACATCCCCAACAAGGGGGCTACGTGCTCCACCACTCACTGCCTCCACAGCAGGGGGCACCTCACCCCATGTATCCTCAGCAGAACGGGCAGCAGCAGCAGCCCTACTACGGGTCCCCCATGGGGCCTCATGATCCTCAGTACAGGGGAGGATATCCTCCTCACCAGTACCCTCCACAACAAGGTGCGGCTCTGCATTCATTTGTTAAACATCATTTATTTAGCCTCCTTTATAGGTAACTTAGCGTTGTAATTGTACGCTGCGTATGATAGAATATTGCAGTGAACAATAACGATATGAAGTACCTGGGCCGCATGCGAACTAAAATGAAGCTTTTCTATGCTCTACTACTTGTAAATTATTTCATGTGGAGAACTTTCTACTTGTATTTATTTCATATACAGATAATACCTGTATTATTGCATGTATTTTATTATCACCACCGAGAAACTATAGAGAAATAAATGCAGAAATGAGGAGCAGAAGGGAAATATCCTCATCGCTGGGAGAATTTATAATGGGAGACAACTAGAGTCTAATGCTCTTTTGCTTTCATTTCTTTTTTTAATGAGTGACTTCTTCATTTATTAAGGAATTTCTTAATTTCAATAATTTTCATTTTGCTATTTGTATTCCTTCAGGGATTACCTGATCTACACTGCAACTCTACTCGAACTTCATATCATAGAATAATTACTGAATGACATTCGTTCAGATGGACGAGCCCCGAGTGGACCGGCGCCATTCCGCCTGCACAGCGACGCTCCTGACGACGGCAGCTCCCGCGGCCCCGCCAGCCTGCGCTCCAGTGCCCAGAACTCGCCCAGCCGTCAGCCTGGGCAGCACCTCAACTACAACTACCCTCAGCAGTCCTACCCTAACCATGGCGGTCCATACAGTCCTCAGTATAATCAATCTCAGTCGCCATATGCTTATACCAACAGCCATCAACCCCAGCAAAACCGCCAGTCAGTTAGTCCAGGCCGCAGTGTCAAGCCTGATATGAATTCTGTGTTGCATGCCCCTGTGGCGGCGCCCCCTCCTGACGACATGGAGCCCCAGAACGTTTCGTTTATCGACACCTCGCAGAGCGGCAATGCCAGCGAAAGAACGAGCCAAGATCGCGAGAGTGCGAGCCAGGATCGCGAGAGACCATCAAGCCTGCCCCAGAACCAGCGTCCATCCCATAGCAACAACAGAAGTCGCGCGGGACGCCCTGAAGATGACGATGAAAGCCCCACGACGGAGCGACTGAAGCGCTTATCTATCGGCTCCGGTAGCCGCACCTACCGCATCCTGGGTGATGGGTCATCCCCCACACGCCCCGCCGTCGGCACGAAGACCTTCCGCGTGCCGACCAAGCGCGGCACGCCCGTCTACGATGACTCGGAAATACCGCAACCCAACGCACACCAACGCTCGCTGTCGCCGCCGTATCAGCCCGAGAAAGATGATGCCGGAACAAGTAATGACGAACTCATGGCGGACATCAAATCGGAACCGCTAAACGACAACGTCACACCCGAAAAAGGATTCTACATTTCGTTTGACGGCGACGGACCTACGAAACGCAAACCTTTGCTTAGACCCAAGAAATTCACGAGAAAGTCTTCCACTCCTGCCACCCCGGCGCCCACGCCCTGCAACGAGGACTTTACAGTCATGACGGTACGTCTTGCGGCTGTCTTTTTTACTACAATGAACCCGTTATTTCTATTTTTAAAAGTCATTAATCGACTTTATTACCATCTTTCAAGCTTATAGCTTCTTTTCGTAGCACTGAAAATTTTTCACGTTTGTTTGGAACAATATTTTTAATCTTACGTTCTCCAATTATTTGAAATGCTTTACTTTTGGAGTTCCTCCTTGCGTGTGGTTGCTTGTAGTTAGTTGCATGTTGCTATGCACTCGCAGATCAAGTTCAGTTTTTTGGAACATATTTAGTGTGTGTGTACTTCACGTAACATTTTCCTTTTAAACATCCGTTTTATTTTATTTTGTGTCGTGCTTCAAAGTTCTTTTACGTTGGATTAGCTAGAGCCGTAGTTAAAACTTTAGGCGGAAAAGCTCAAGAATTTTTTCCTCATTCAGTTATTTGTACTCTACTCATTTCTTCCTCTACTGGCAAACTCGTTTCCATCCTCTTATCAATTTACTTGTGATATCGTCCCATTTTACCAATTTTTTCCTAATCTGAATTTTTTAACTGTATTTCGTGCAATGTTCTGTATTGTACTGTATTGTACTATTTCTGTATTGTACTGCACTCCCCTCGTCCTGTTGCATCACTGTAATTAGTTGGTTTGATAAGACTCGGCAGTCTGCTCCGACACGTCTTATTACATACACGTTCTTTGGCCTAACTTCAAATGAGAATCTTGAAAACCAAACAGGATTAAAAGTAACTATATATAATGGTAATTAACGTTTGTGGCATTTAACAATCATAGCAATTTTTGAAATTGAAGTGAATTTGAACAAAAATTTTACGCTGAGGTGACGTAGCAGACTACGAGACAAGCACTTGTATTTGCACTTCGTTCGCTGGAGGCGTTAGTGTTATCAGCGGCTAGACACAACGTGCGACGTTGTCTCGTAAGTAATGAACCTAACGTCTGTCCAGGATAACGCTCCTCTGCGCAACTCGCGCTCCAACGCCTCCCTGGACCTCCTCACCCCCAGCTCTTACCGCCGCCCCTCCTCGACCTTTTCTCCCACCTCTCCTACCTCGCCTTCAGGGCCCTATTCCTCCAGCCTCACCCGCTCACCCTTCTCCCCCTCCCTCCGCTCGCTGAACAGTAGCGCTTCCCCACGGGCGAATGGGTTCCCTTTTAGTAAGGGGAGTGGTGGGGAGGAGGTGAGTGCTGACAGCACAGGGGAAAGCTGCGGCGAAGATCTCCCTGTAACTCAAGTCTTCAAGGGCTCCTCCACAGCGCTAGTGATCGGCGATGAAGCCATTAATGAGGAGGTGAGGGGCAGGAATTACTTCCGTAACTTCAGTCTACTTGCTGGACAACTGGAAGTACTTACCTGGATCTGCGGTATCAACAAATTTCTCAAGGGGCGTGAGCGATGCCATTCTTTGCGGCTCAGGAGTCAACGATTCGAGATTTTAGTTTGATTTGTAAATTGCTGAATTATAGCCTTCCTGTTGGGCGTCAATTATCGTAAATGTTACCATGGCTGCAATGATATGGAAAAAAGTCTATTAGTGACGCATCCGCAAAAAGTTTGAACGAACTTGTAACAGTTGATTTAGCAGACAATTGACTTAATTGACGAATCGGGCTGGCGAGTCTTATCGCGCCGTTCTCGATATTCAGGTTAAGTTGCCTTGTGACATACACCTCTCCAGCCCTCGGTCTACAACTTGAGACGTATGTGTAAGGTAGCAAGTAGTAACTGAAGCCTGATGCTTCCGCATCAATCTATTGCCTTGCTTATCACGTATGGTTTATTAATTAGAAAAGTAGTCACACTTTTTTTTACTATAGTTTCAATTGGTTTTAGTGATTTTGCACGATCTATTCGAAATTTATTTAAATCCTGCCTTTTTTTAATTTGTGTTTAGTTATTTAGCACGTTTTGCAATTTTTTCTCACTTTTGACTTTCGTGGCAAATGTAGTGTTGCTGTGTGCTGAACTTTCCCAGCATTTTTGCTGCAGGTATAACGTGCAGTTGTCCCTTGTAACTGTGCATTATAATTTTTCCTGCAAGCTCCGAAGGATCAGTGTAAGTCTCGTTATCTGAAAATATTTGTGTGCCGAGTTCAAGTTTTGTTCAACGCTCGGAATTCACTCAACAAGCGTGCCTTGAATAGTCATCAAACATTGAACGAGTTCTGAGGATTTCAACATTGATTCCTAGTTACTGTTTGTAATGGAAGACCTTTCGTTGAAAGCTTATAAAGTTCTAAGTTCCGAGAAATTCATTCTTCGTGACACCGATAGTTGATTGATTGAAATTTCTGTTTGTATTTGCAATCTACGTTCGATAATTGAGTGAAATTTATACCTGTATTTGCAGTCTACGTTCGATAATTGAGTGCAATTGATCCATGTATTTGCAGTCTACGTTCTCTGACATGGAGCGCAAGAAGCAGCGTCTGATGATCATGTCGATGCAGCGCAAGCAGCAGCAGGAGGAGATCAAGCGAGCCAAGGAGCTGGAGGCCGAGCAGCGGCGGGAGCACGAGAAGACCGTCGAGGAAATGAAGATGAGGAAGAAAGAAGAGGAAAAGCAGCGTCGCGAAATGATATTAGAAAGACACAGAATCAAGAAAGCCATCGAAGAAGCGGAGAAAGAGGTATGACTTCAAGATAGTACATTTTCTTACCTTTGATTTTAATCCCCTGCAACTAAGCTTACTTGTTTTCAATAAACTTAAAATTTATTTTTTCTTTGCTACTTCTCAATTGTTACTCAGTTCCTTGATCGCAAGTGAAGTTGATCATGTTCATTTTGCTAGATGCTTATCAACTTCTCATTCCCCGTAAAGATACGTTGCTTCTTCTCTACCTAATTCCATAGTTGTTGTACCACTATGCTGTAGTCATCATGGCTGGTATTCCCTACAACAGGGCACATACTACCAGCCCCCTGCATGGTACGTCATGGAGCAAGCCAACAGCCAACCATCTCGAGCTGCGACCGTCAGAATGCGCAGCAAACCTGGCGGTGGAGGGCGCCCGCGGCCCAAGACCATGTATGAGGGCGACGTCGCTGACGGAGAGAAGGGAGCACTGGGTGCTGCTAAGAGAACTAGGGGCAGCACTCAGAACGTGGCCGCCGCACCTGCCGGTGAGTTGTCCTCTCTCAGGTCATCGGGTGCTAGCAAGTTTCCTTACACATGTTCCTGAACCGCTGACTTATGTTAGGTCAGACTTCTAGGAGCATATTCAGCTTTCTTATAGTACAGTTGATGAGCTAGAACGTGTCGAGTTTTGGTTCCCCGGTAGACCTCTAAGATTAATTTATTTTTGATTGATTTGTTGTGAGGACCTGCTATTTATTACCGCTCTTTATCAACGTTAACTACGATAAAATGGGTTCAGCATACGAAATGGATGAAAATTTGTGGGGCGGTTTGGTCTATCGATAGACACCTTATAGCCTAGTAATTATTGCGTTCAAGTAAATGGTAACTCACCGAGATCAACGTTGGTAATGCGAGCTTCTTGACTGACGCAGTAAGTCCTCTTTGTGCGTTTGTTTGGACTCGTGTGGTCTCAGTGTCATTACTGCACGCATATTAAACCGTCGCAGTCCGTGCAAGTCGTGTTAAAGTTAATTTTTTGTGCTTATTTCCGCACCTGGTCTCAATCGTTGAGCAAAAAGTCCAGGAGTGTGTCACAAGAAACCTTTGCATGTCGTCGAGTTTTTTTCGTGTACTTTGCGATGCTCCACTCTGTACAGTTCAGGATTCACGTTTGCTCCATTGTGTAAGAACTTCCTCGTTAAACCATCCTGTCTAATGTTTCTGTGAAAGAGCTTGCGTCATATGTCATCCATCACATAGAGTATCGATCATCTTGTATTTTTTAGTATGCCTCACCAACGTTATCGTTAGTTTTTCCATAGTTTAACTCACTTCCTGTCATATGTTTTCACTTGTTTTCGCAACACTCAGATTCACGCACTTTTTTGCTTTATAAACTATCGTTCGTGATTCCTCACTCGGAAAATAACAGAGCTAAGAACCAAAGACGAAAACTGAGTTGATAATTAGGGCGTTAACGCGGGCCTGGTGCACACAGAGTCTGGCGGTATTCATAAGAGTAGCGGACGATGGGGTTCATCTCACTCGCTGTCCCGCGCTGCTGGACCTCGCGGATCTACAAACAGCCTCAGCGGAGGTACGTGTTATGGGTTACCTGCTGCAGTCTTGTCTTGCGAGGGTCTGAATGATGTAGTCTTTGACATCAGCGGAGGTACGTGTTATGGGTTACCTGCTGCACCCTTGTCTTGCTAGGGTCTGAATTATGTGGTCTTTGTCATCAGCGGAGGTACGTGTCCTTGGTTACACGCTGCAGTCTTGACTAGCTAGGGTCTGAATGACGTAGTCTTTGTCATCAGCGGAGGCACGTATCGTGTGTTATAAGAACCAGCGGGGGCAGCCGAGAATAGAATTTTAATCTGACGTAGTAGTTGATCCAAGATCGTTTTGTGTATCGTATGATTCAGTAAGAGAATGGTAAGAGTCCATTGGTCTCTGAGTCTTATTGGAAAATTTGTTGTGACTAATGTTCACGCTGGAGTTCGATATTGGTTATGCGTCGTGTTGTTGTTATTGTTGTTGTGGTTCCCCGGTCTCAATTTTACAGGAGATCCCCCTCGCACAAGTACGACACCACCGACAGGGGGTCGCTCCAGAGCTGTAGGGTCGAGGTTATGTGGTGGTGTTGTCTGAGGTCCTGCCAGAGCGGACATTCCAGGAGAATGTGAGTGATTGTGTGGGGAGCTCTCTGGCAGGATGGGCAGGTGTCTGTGTCTGCTTGGCCTATTCTGTTTGCGTATGTTTGTAGTGAGGGCTGGTGGCCGCAGCGAAGCCTGGCTAGGTGTACTCTCTCCAGTCTAGGAGCTGTGTTTCTGTGCTGCTTATGTCAGGTGGTGGGTGTCCAAGGACTTTGTTGTTGCCGGCCAGCTCCAGCGTTCTAAGTGTCATAATTGTGTGTAAATGTTTTTTTGTTTGTGCTGGTGTTGCCCTGGGGGGGGGGTACTGTGTTTAGTATGTTGGTGTAATATCTGTGTGGGATTTGCACTATTTGTCTGTGTGTAGGTGGGTGGTTGCGTAGGTAGTGGCACGGGTGTTGTGTGTTGTTTATGGCTGCGGCTATGAATTGTGTTCCTCTCATGTCGAGGTGTGCTTTTATGGGAAGTATTTTTGTTTCTGCATGAAGGTGTTCTATGGGGGTGCTTTGTGTGCAGCCTGTGACTATCCTGAGTGCTTTGTTTTGTAGTGTTTGGAGTTTCTGTATGTTTGTGTTGGATAGTGCGGGCGCCCAGGCGGGGCTGGCATAAGCCAGCACTGTTCTGATGAACTGTTTGTATGTTGGTGCTAGTGTTTCTTTGTTTTTGCATGCGTCGTGTAGAGAAAGACGCCATTCGACAATTTTATTATAATTTTGACGCGCTCATAGCGTCATGTGTTTTTTCAAATTTTATTATGTGATTGGCATCCCCTATCTAATGGACCTTAAATTGAATTTGGCTGTTAGTGCTTTCTTCTTTCCATTTTGTAGTTATTATACGGTTTTACATTAAGTTAATCGCTAGCGTAGGAGTATTCAAATTTTTCCAACCAATAGGGAACAAAGTGCACTTGCGGCACATGAAGCTTTCCAAGCTTTGAATCCCCCGATGAATTTACTTCCCGTGAAATCAAACCACTTGACCTCAGACCTCAATTTAAAGTGCAATTTTGAAGTCTAATGCGTAGCAGGTAACGGAGTAGACTATCTGAGTCTCTAACATGGAATTAATGACATTCAAGGGGTGCTCAAGTATTGCTGATCACGTCCATAAATATGCCTAATTAAATGTGAGTTGGGGATGAGATGCTATGGGGATGTTAAGATGAAGGTTGCTGATGAGGTTACTTCGAGGGTCGCTGGTTCATCTCATGGCCCGAGTTGTGACTGTTAGCATATTAATTGAACTCCGTCCCTTTCCCCACCCTTGGCTTCTTTGTAAGGTAATGTCAGATAAAGCTTCAAGTTCGTTTATCATCCAAGTGTGTTAGTCCCTCATAATGACCACCATGCACTCCTGCAGGCACGCTTATAAAACTTACCCTGATGCCCTCTCACGGTAAAATATTGTTTTTTTTTGTTTCTCCATCAGAAGTAAAAGTAATTGGCTGTTGTAGGTCACTTAGTTGTTTTCTGTAGTTATTGTTCACTTGGTTTTGTCAGTTTTACCTTTATTGAATCCATAAGCCCGTTGCTGCTAAAATTTTACAGCACGGATTGTTTCATTATTTATATTTTTATTTTTTTTTTGTTGTCATTGTTGCCCACGAATGCAATTTCACTTTAGCTCCTCTGATGTGCACTTGGAAATCTAATGCCTGTCGCTCTCGTGATGCTAGGCAGCTGAGTCCAGAAAAAGTTTCTTTCCCGTTAACCACTTAATATAATAACACTAGGAAAAAACTTGGGTCCCGGAGATCCCATTGTTACACATATTCATTGTTTCACAAACCCCATCCTTGTAATTTCGATGATATCGGGAATAACAATCAAAAGTCAATTGTTGAAGAAATACTTTCTGCTGTTAAGCACATGAATTCTTTATTTATGTGTTTTCTCAGATATTGAGCTATTTTGTGAGCCCACCTAGATTGTCATTGAAATCATCTGTAGGCCTTGACGCCAACCCTGACAAAAAGTATGAGCCTCAAGCTAAATTGATCACGAGAGCTGATGGCGCGTAACACGCTTGCTGGTCCCTGAATGTGGCGCCGTAACTCCCTTTAGATTACGGAAGCAGCAGCAGCAGCCGCACGCTAGAGCGCCGTGGTGGAGCTCGCCGACCTACCAGTGTCGTGGGANTTAACTTTATAAATAATTCCCTTCAACGTCACCAGTCTGCCAAGTCTCGTACGTAGTTATTATCTCTCTCTCTCTCCTCCTTGAGCTTCTCTTAACTTTAGTCGAGGGTTTAACATAGCCACGCAGTCTCCATCTTAACTAGCAGGTAAAGTGCTGCGCTTCATGAGAGTTGCTATTTTGTTATGGCTTCATATTTTGTGCTATAAAATATCATCTGCAACTCGTGTTTATTTATTTCATATATTTAATAGTAGAACATGATATTTTGTTTTAGATTGATTAGTACTATAAATTTATTTTTATGAATTTTCCTTCTCAACATGGAAATGTGATTTTGTTCTTGAATTGATGAAATTCACGATCAAAGTTTTTATTTACATTTAAAGTAAAGGAAAAGTCATTATATTAATTTTCATTATTCTAACAGTAGCGCTGCATTTGTTTTTCAGAGCCGTACGCAGTTAATACATCAATTTGCTTGATGCCTAATTTTTTGTGTTCTTACTAAATAGCTCTTAATTTCATTTAATTCGTTCCATATTTGGATGCGTGTAAACTTGGATGTTGTGCAGATGTATCATCGATCTTACAGAATTTGCGTAATATTTCGCATCAAAGTGTACACAAAGGTGCGACCTATCCTGGTTATATTTTAGCTCGTTTGGGTTGTCCATTTTCGGCCGAGGTTGTATTGGGTCGCCTTGATGTTCGTCGACGCATCCCTTCCCTCCGGAGTAGTTGTACTTTTGACTTAATTTCATAAACTCGCCCTACCTTTCTTTTCGGTCTCGTTGCCCCGCTCATCTGTCGTAATTGTTTTCATCGTCTGCTTCCTCATTTATCAAAATACGACACACATTGCCCAATAATGCTGTAGGCCTGTGTGGAGAGGAACAACCAATCTTTAAAAAAAATGTCTTGGGTGGATCGCTTCTTTTGACTACTGTTCCTGTCGGCTATGGTTTGGAAAATCCATACGAGGCTCTGTTGACGTTGTCAAATTATTCTCTGTACGTGTTCACACGCCATCATCGATAGCTATGTTAAATCACTAAGATAACAAACTAGAAATCGGACATCGTTAGTCCATATTTGACTTGGAATGAATGAACAGGCAGTAAAAGGAAAACCCGATCATTACATCAAAGATTCGTCGTGTTACTTGATATTAATGAACGTACCTCTTACGTCAGTGGTAAGAGTCGTCCTTGCATAGCACTCTTGCTTCATTATCCTACACTGCACAGTATACGGGTCACGTAGCAACCTGCCTCGCAACACTGACGAGGAGTCATCCCAATACCGAGTGCATTCCGCCGCCCGCCGTCCGGGTATGAACACCGAAGGTGGTGGTTCAAATCTGCGTCGGCCGTCCGGTCCGTCTTACAGGGGTGCGGGTGGTGGGTCCAGGAGGTATCGCTCTACCGGCAACCTCAGTGGTGAGACGTGTTCACTGTCCATCTTCTGTGACGTTCATGTTTGTTGGGATCCTTATTTATGGTTCGGTTCTTTCCTTTGCTTAGGAGCGTATGGTCGGTTTTCTTCGGGGTTTCATAGCGTTTCGGTTCGTGCTTGTTTTATGGTTTAACTATATATGCGGTTTGTCCTGGTGACAGGTTGCTTTGTTTGGTTGAATGTTTTTGGGAACTCGATCCGGTGTTCTTCTGCTAGTAAATCTTTATGCTGATTTGGTTCTCCGCACGCATGTCTTACCCTCATGAATGATGTCCCGCTTCGTGGAGGTTTTGTGTATATTTTTTCCTGTTAAAAATGCTCATAATCTGGGTCTGCTTAAAATGATTCAGAATTATTTAAGCAAAATGTTAAAATTTAAGATTCTTTACGTGCTTGCCTAGAAATAATCTCGCTTGCTGTAATAACGAACTGCAACATTTCATCGTTTCCGTGATTCTCTTTTTCGTGTTATGGAATACGTGTTTTAATACGGTATGGTTATACGATTTATTTTATAATTTGGTGCCTATGGTTTAATTATTTTAAGGTGAACACTTTTTAAACGTTATGTAAGACAGGTATGATATTGCATTGATGTACACGACGAAACCAACGCAGCTTGCTGGTTCTTCGGGTGAAATATTTTGTTTACTTCCTTAATTAGTTTACATAAGTTTCTTGTACAGGACGCTTGAATAATTTCAACTACTGTAGTGTTGAGCTTGCATTTATGCTGGTGCTTTTTCTTAATTGTGTCGTCGGTGTTATCGTCTGTCGGAACCTATTATATTTCCGGCTACTGAAGCAACGCATTTAAATAGAACAGTGAAGCTTTTTTTTTATGTGTTCGGTGCGCATTACCCTTTACGCTACTCGGCTGTTGAGTAAACGCTTCAGTTGGTCATGGTGTAACTATAAGGGTTTCCTTACTTTGATTGATGACTGGTGCTTTTCCGTTTACATTTTTTTCAGTATACTACAGTATTTGTGTGTGTTGAATTGGGATTATTATGTCCCGTTCTATGGCAATATTTTGGTGGCAAGTTCCTTCATAAAATGTTGCCAGTTCGCATGTCTACGATTCTTATGAAGAATAATGGACTCCTTCTTTTCATTATTTTGAGTGGTACTACTTAATTGTTCTGTTCTATTATACATTTTTACTGAAAAAATTTTGTTACTTTCTTATTTACATTACAATTTGTGTCAGTTTGCTGTCTGAAAAGGTTTTTGTTCACTCATTATCGTTTTTCGTGTTTCCTTTCAGGTGGCCTGCGCCAAAGAAGTATGTTATCATTTATTTTGTTTTCAATAATCTTTCATAGTAGACTTTATTCATCTTTCGTTCACTGGAGCTCTACGTTGTTCCCATCCTCTAAGGCATCCAACTGTGTAATAACAAATAACACGATTACAATTTTGTACCTCAAAATATTTACGAAATAATTAAATTAACAATATCGTAATAACATTAATGGCCAATGTTCGAGTTGGATGCCTGTAGCTGTGCTCCACATGACAGCGAGCCTCGTGTAACAACAATAATACTACCATTAGTTATCAATTTCCGCGCCAGCCTCGGGATGTGACTGGGGCGTGAATTCTGCTTGTGATGAAGCGTAGCATGCGGTATAGCAATTCTCACGGCAGTCGTTGCTTGGTCTTACAAAGTTACTAGTCATTTTCTTTTTTCTTTCTATGGTTGTACAATTAAAATGTGCTGAGCTAACTACTAACCCAAGGGATCGAGTTGACGCTTCTCTTTCGAAGCACAGTCTACTTACATAATAGCATTAACATTACTACACATAAATATTAGTGCTCCCCTTAAAACACAATCGTATATTATGTTATGTATTTGATATCATTATTGTCCCATAGCCAGTTGCTGTCGACCCTAACTATAACTACAAAGTTTTTATAGATTTCTACGATATTAGTAGTTTTAAAAATACGTAATCCGTGTACGGAATTAGTTGCTTTTTCACCAAGTCCTCAATCACTAGGCGGTTGAACATTAGTTTTTGCTTTGACTTGATATCACTCTCTGAGCGTCGTACCTCTCTAAAGTTTACCCCCTGTTTTCACAGCCTTATAAGCTGCTTTTAATTTATGTTTATACTTAATTTATTTGATTGTTAGTTCACACCATTCTTTACGTTTTGAGTTCATGACTTCATCGACCCGTTCATCTCATGCTTGAGCATCAAACTTTTTTATTCTTATTGCAAACATGCAGGTAATAAAATGACCTCAATGTTGTGTTGAATAAACACCAGAATTTTTAAAGGACGTTATAACGTGATGCACACTCAAGTCAAGAGTGCATCGTTATAAGGTGATACACTTTTTCAAGGTGATGCACACTGAATTTATTTGGTCTGTAGGATGATGATGATGAATTAGGTTATGGATAATCAATCGTTACCTTATTTACTCAGAGTTCCAAAAATTAATTCCAGTGATTTTTCTAATTCAATCAGTAACACAATATTTTTTTCTCGTCATCCCACTATCTACTCATAGTTCTTGTATTATCCATCTATTCGCTTATTTATAAACTCACAATTCGTTAGATGTTCCAATTCTCTTTTTGCGTCCGCTATCCACATTATATTTGTAGGTGTAGATAGTCAGGCTTAACTAAGCCCATTACCATCGAAGTGCCTTCCTCAAGCCACACTTACCCGTCTGTATCCTGGCATTCTATTTGACGAATTTCTGTCCCTAGCCTCACTTCGTCGGTATGCAGCAAGACGCCAGCGTAGTATAGAATAGAGGTCATAAATTCTGTCAGGTTACCAGCCATAGTCCGCTCAAATAACAAACTCCAGTAAGATTATCCGTGTTGGTCGCCGTGAATTTCAGCGACGTGGCATTTTTGTGTACCATTCTCATGACTTAATGGTTTGTGGTGAACCAGGCGCCAGCGAGCACGACAGCCTCGTGTACGGCATGAGTGAAGACAGCGGCCTGGGTCGCGCTACGCCGCCTCGCCGCGCCGCGTCCCCTGGCATGGGAGTGGGGGCTGGGGGAGGATCTACCCGCCACTTGCCGTCCCCCTCACAACCAGGCTCCCTGCCCCCCGGCCTCATCACGCGTAGGAGACCAACTCTGGGTGGTGGCTTTGATGACGCTGCCAGTGATATATCTACCACCAGCTCCACCATGGACTTCACCGGTACGAGTACTGCAGCGTTGTCTTATGACTGCAAATATGATGTTGTCTGATGTGTTCTTAGTTGCATTCGTAAACTGAAAATTGATTTTCATTCAAGAATAATCTATCATCGGGTAATGATCAGTATAAATTTCTAGAGATATATCATATATCAAGATTAATATTTTTGTTCATTGCAAAATTATCTTAGTTTATCCTACAATCAATGAGCTGATAACAATGACATTCGTTTCGTCTGTATTAAAACTGACAGATATTCTTTGATCCCATCGATTATATGCCTTATTTTCACGTTATTTCTAGCTGTGTGGTGTGCGTATTTACTATAGGCATATAGGCATGGTCATTCAATTTACTAGAACCTCCTCTAAGGTGAATAACATGAGTTAATTCTCTTCATTTAGGCCCAAGGTTATTCAAGCAGCCGACGTCGAAGAGCAACAGAAGCATCGTGCTAAACGCTGTCGAGTTCTGCGTGTTCCCTGGCGCGGTCAACCAGAACAGCAAGCATCGCGTCTTGGAGGAAATCGCGCGCTCGGAAGCCAAGCATTTCCTCTTTCTGTTCCGTGATGCTGGCTGCCAGTTTAGAGGACTTTACTCCTATAATCCTGAGACGGAAGAGGTCGACAAACTCCATGGCACCGGCCCCAAGAGAGTGACTGACAACATGTTCGACAAATTTTTCAAGTGAGTTAGGCATCTCGTCAAGTTTTGGCTCGCGATGACTACTATTGCTTTTACGTATATTTTTTCTCAAATAAACATTTCATTTATTTATTACAAAATAGATATGAATACTGTGTAACTCATCATGTGGAAACATTAATGTTTCTGCAAGTAGCTTCTCAAAGATTGAAAACTATTGATGTTAGTCTCTTGTATTTTTTTCATGATGTAATCGTTGACCACTTTTCCGCAGATTTGTCCCTACCTTCGGAAAGTTAGTGATCTCCTTTGATGTTTTATATTATCAGCTTAATTCAGAAGGCATATCACGCCTTTCTCGGGTCGTAAATACGCTAAAGTTAATTTATTTGTTCGCAGGTATAATTCGGGCGCTAAGAACTTCTCTCCTGTGCACACGAAGCATTTGACGGCCACCATCGATGCCTTCACCATCCAGAACTCCTTATGGCAGGGCAAGCGCGTCAGTGTCGTTGCCAAGAAAGACTACGCTCTGGTCATATAATAATACCCAGCTCTCGGTTGTAGGATAATAGTGCCGGAGTGAATGTCTTAGTAAGAGGCCTCACCTAGATCGTGGTCTATTTAAGGACTTTAGAGAAGTTTTATCAAACTACTTTCACGTTCCAGGGATGGTCTATAATTCCAGGGTGCCTCCACAGCAACATCAACAATGATGTCGTTGAGTAGGAAAGATCATTAATTGCTTAGCCTTATATTTCGTTATCGATGAAATCCAGATCAAAAAGAAGAAATGGAACATTAATTTTTCACGCGCCTCAGCCTGTTTTTCACAAAAAATTTCGTCGTCCAACGTTTTGGGTTTTCATCAATTTCATCAAAGATTAAATGATTACTATTAAGGTATTTTTAAGCTATCGTCGAGTATTTCATGATATGTACTGAACTAACACGACGCTCTGAGCGTCTAGCTGGACCTGATAAGAGAAGGTTGGTTGTGGCACGGACTCCGACAGTCGCTGTCACAGTACTAATTAGAATTGGGTGCCGCGTTCTGCTGCTTTTAACTTCACTTATTATAATACTTGTGATCAAGATGAACATTACATGTGATAAGTAACTTAAGGTAAAATGCCTATGTGCTCTGATTGATTATGCTGGATGTGACGTCGGCATGTGAATCGTCGCTGACCAATTTCGACAAAAGTCAATTCCCTGCGCTGTCAATTTTTGATTAATTTTTGTATTCATGTTCGATCGCATTTCGAGTTGAATGATGTGAAACACTAATTGGTGTTGCTGGGTATTTAGTTCGAATAATTCTATCCTGTTCGTTGTAGGTTTTGCATTGTATGTGTATATTTTATTTGTGATGACTTTTTATTGCCATTCCAGTGGAAAACATTCTATCAAGTCTATGAGATTATTTTTTTTTCGATCACACTCGAGAGTCATTTTTTGCAGACGCACAATCTGTGCATTTCCTTTCCTTAAAATTTTAAACTGGCTCTCGTAGTCTCTCCGCCAATTGAGTCAGTTTCATTCCATTCTCGGTGTATAAAATTTCTTCAAGCAATCTTTTCCATTCACCCATTCATTATGAGTGTTGCCTGCTTCCTGCGCGTCTCGTTCAGTGATAGTGAGCGTTTGTATTTACTGCTCCTGTATTTATGAAATGAAGTTCATGAGTTCCATTTAACTTGAAACATATTCCTTCACATGGTCTTGCTGTGACATCCACAATTATTCGTTTTATTCTCATTCATGACACGGAGTTAACAGAATCTCATTATAGCGCTAGTATTTGTCATGCTCATGCACATTTTTTTGTATCCTACTGCTTGAAGCCTTCAGTTGATATCGGGAATCGAACACCACGGTTTTTGTTGAGCAAGACACATTGCAAAAGCGTTTGATGTTTATTATCTACCGCTTATAAGTTAGTCTATCTCATGATTACTCTGATTTGAATGGCAGATCTTTTAACCCCCAATTATCAAACGGTACCCCTGTTCAAGTTCTGAAATAATTTCCTTAGATGAATTACTTTAATTTTTCTGATATTTTCTACGCCTTTCACGGATGCTAAACCAGTTTATGTTCAATTCCGTCTGCATCCGTACAATTTCTCTGTTCACATTCAGCGAATTTGGCTTTGGATAACTCCATCTTCGTAGCCGTTCTCCGGCAATAACAAGATTTGACAACTGAATGAATCCTCGTGAATTTTCTTCGAATTTCTTAATTCTTATTGTTTATTTGAAGCCAAGCATGCGAATTATTTTTCGCTTTCTCTACTCAATCGATTCATTCATAGGTTGCCTCTTCACAATTGGAAAGGTTCGAGGTTCGTATGAAATGTCAAGTGCTCTAGAATTCAGGTGTTTTGTATGTTTTTTGACGATGTAATTCAACGGATTTCCATATCTTTCAAATAGGAATGCAAATGTTTTCAAATTAGCCCCGACTGTTTTTTGTTTGTCTTTTACTGTGCTCAAGAAAAATTAACTTCCTCTCATAAAATTTCTAGTTATGGTTCACATTCCTATTAGTGTCTGTATTGACATTAATTATGTTGCACTAACTCACTCATTCAGATCAAAGTTTGACCATAAGTAACGATGACGTGCCAACCTAACTTTGTGACCAGCGATTCTATCGTCATCTTCATTAATTCCCTAGCGCCTTCTATTCGTTAAGAGTTGACCGATAATTTCGCTTCATATACGATGCACTATGTTGAACAACTACCGCTCAGATATGCTACTCACGCTCGCTCCGACGATGAGTAGAGAACGACGAATAATGACGAGGAATTTGACGCCATGGCCGAATTTTTGACTCGTGCAGGTCTTCATTAATTGACGTGACCTCAAACATTATTCGTCGTCTTCGTAATTAAGGATTAACCGTTCTAAGATTATTATTATTATCCTAATGATTATATGTATTAATTCTAACCAAGGTGCTTTAATTCGCTCCTAACTGGCCGCCAACTTTGGTTACACACGCTGCGTTTCTCCCTAACTTTTAGCTTGTGTACATTTGCTGTACAGAAACAAAGATGATTGAGATGCGCCGCTGTGCACTGGACTGGACTATTTTTAAAGGAAGAATTAACGCTTGTGTGAGGCGTTGTGATGAACCTCTGTAAATATTATTGTTTTTATATTTATTGTCCCCACCTTAAGCGAGAGTGGGGCTCATGATCACGGTCCAGTGTATGCTTGTTATCAGTTGTAAACAAAAGTCTTTTATGAAGAACTTCTATCTTTACCCTTCGGTCTACAACTGAGTTTTCATCGTTACATGAGAGCTTGGCGCGGCTTTGGACGGTAATTTCACTAAGCTAAACGAAAAATATTTCAAAATCGTACCTTTTCACACTTATCACGATTTTGATATTAATTTCGAGGTCGACTAGAAAATTCAAATTGACACGGCTGAAGTATAAAGTCTTTCTATTGAGGTAAAATCATACAAGTTCGTGCATTGCTGATGTATGTTTCTGTTGGACTCCAGTTCATTAATTTTATTTATCTCGTTTTTATTGCTATTATATTTTATCTAATAGTTAGGAAAGTGATGGAATGATCGGCTCCTCCATTTATATTTATAATACAAGTTTTGTCATACGAGTATGCATGTGGGAAGGAATAGGTGAAGCGCAGGTCATCAGGAAAGTATCTAAACGGAACTTATTCCCGATTATCCCCAGCACTTCAATGTGTTTACGTCCGGCATTTCAACTTTTTTGCCTCCACCATTTTTAAAATAACGTGAAGGAGATGATTTATGAGTGGTTTTTCTTTGATAAAATACAAATTATTTACTACAGGGGAAGGAAGGAGCGTAGGGTTGCGTGTACTCGACAGCAACTTTAACGCTGCAGTGGGGGCGTGTAGGGAATGTTCCGTCGTCCACGAGCTTCAGTTTTTGCGTGAATTTGAACTGAAAATGTTGCTCTGTAAATTAACAATCGAGGGCTTGAATCCCAAATTGCAGACCTACAAAGTAGTAAGCAATCTTCCTTAAATAAATAGGCGAAAAAGAGGGATTCTTGTCAATCCAACATTTATAATACTCTTATTACAATTTATTCGGGTTTTATCAGAAAACATTGACGAATGTTGCAAATAAAATTAATTCACAATGATTGACAGACGTGGCCCCTCTTGATTAGCAAGTCAAGGGTCATATCATTGGCCATCTTCTTGCTGGCCAAGGGATAGCCATAATAAAATACCAGAAAACGTCCGTGAAACCGTGTTTCTACTTTCTTTTAACACTTAATTAAGTCGCATAAAAAACCGCCGGAAACAATCAAATCTTTATAAGCCGTTATGATACTGTAGCATAACATTTCTTAATTAGCACCTTTTCTGTGAAACTAATTGTCCACAACTTTTTGTTCACCGAGTCTGGACAGTCAAGGAAGAGTATCTCTGCATCATATAGACAGGCAACTCTGAAAATAACACTTTTAAAACCGTAGAATCTATTCTAAATATATGAAACTAGCAGTTCACAAAATTGCAGTTTTTGCATCGATTGCTGAGGACAAGAAGTAATCTTATTTCTACTGTGTTCAATCCGTCTAGAGTTTGGTCGAGTTGTGTTTCCTATTATTTGTGCTGAAAACTTCCTGATGAACAAGCTTGCGTAGATACGACAGTAACCAATGGGATTTTTACCCTTATTCTTAGTGAAACGTCGAGACTGCTTACAGTATTACCCTGCCATAACATATCTTTTTCTTTGTGGGTGTCCACACTGTGTGGACGTCACAAGTCTGTCAGCAGGTTGACCGTTGTGCCTGAGAGCTTGTGGCTCCCGTTATTCCACCGTGTTTCACTTCGAAAATTTTGATCTAAATTTCGTTCTAATTCACGTTTGTGTCGTGTCACGTCTCCCGGGTACAGTGGAATATTAACGTTCAGTTTTCAATTTTAAGAAGTTATGTTATCAACGTCAAAATTAATAGTAATTTTCTAGCCAAAACTATAATTCTCACATAATAAGCATACCTTTATCTCCTTCAAAGGAAGCAATGAGAATTCTAGCGCTTCTTCCACTCATAAAATTATAATCAGTTGACGCACGTGTGCCTGGCAGCGACTACCCGGTGTAGCTGCAGCCGGGCTCAGGCTAGGTGACGTGCAGGAGCCTCACTGTGCAGTTGCCTGGTGTAGGTGGAGGTGTGTGGTGTGGCGCGCGTGAGCGGGCCGGCTCAATTTAAACAAAGAATCTGAACACGTGAAATGTGCAAAATATTTACCGAAAGACATGGTGAAGACTTGAAATTGAGTTCTTATTTTGTGGTCTGATGAAACATTCCATGGACTATTGGCGTAATTTTTAGTGTGTGTCACCTTTTTTGATTGCAATATGTGGCAATTAGTAGGTAATCAGCATACCTTAATGACACAAGTTAATTCTGGTCACTAGAGCAGCTGTCCTGATGTAGGTGTTTTTTTTCGTGTCGTGAACTTTCATTCATATTGGCAATTTTCGTTGATATTCTGAATCTGTAATCTTGTTAGATTAAAAAAAATTAACTGACTTGCGACTGTGAAGAAGTCTTTGTTGCGCAAAAGAAATTCAAATAATACAAGAAAATTCAGATTTTAAATATCTGTCTCCAAAACTGAGAATTTTTGCTGTTCTAAATTAATTTCGAAACTTTGACATCGAACTAGACTCGAACTAAGTTGCAGGCATCGTGAAGCGTGAACCTTTCTCCATTTGTTAGCACTCATCGCCAAATGCAATTCCTCTCGGTTTAAATAGCTAACAATATGTCAATTATAAATTGCATTCCGTTTATAAATTGTTATTCGATTACAAGTTTTTCGACTCTTCTACACTAATAAGTTTCGTACCTATTTAAAATTGACCAAAATTATTCACAACATTAACTGAGTTTAAAAATTGAAAACTTAAATTTTAAATCCATTGACCCCTAAATTCTTGAATGCTAACCTCTGTCAGCCCGATTGATATTTTTTATCGGGTGTCCGAAAGCTCGAAATGTTGATGAACCCAAGCCTGATCCTGCTTCAAAGGAAACATAAAGGCTTAACGCCCCTAGAAAGTCCTGATCTTGACGTTTATTTGAACAAATGATGCAGTTAAATCTTCGACGAACTCCTTCATTTGCGTCATGCAAAAAAGACGTGCACTAATTTGAGTCTTTTCAGCTCGTAAACGATGCCTCAGCGTACGGAAACAGGATTTTGAACAAAGGAGGCGGCAATTTTTTCGGATGTTCAGGAACGATCATTTTATCTCTGCTAAATACGTGTAAAAATGGTTCAAATTTTCGTCCATTTATTTATCTGTCGCGCTCTTGTTCATGTGCCGACAGAAATGTAGTTTTGGATATATTAATGGAATCATGGTAGTAAAATTATCGTGTAGAAATTTGTTGAGAATTAATTTGTCTTCTCGAGAAGTATTTAACGCTGAAAATGCTATTAGTAAGCCACATCAATAACAAAGTTAAGTCATATCGCGAGCTGCATTCAGTTGTGTCGTGCGGATGTGAGCTGTGAGCCCTGGATTCCACGCGGTCTGGGACCGAGCTGAACAAGTATTACAAGCTATGCCCGGCATTTGCTGCCGACGGTATTGTCTCGTGCTTTAATAGAGATAATATTGTTAGCTTTTAGCCTCCATTCAATCCAGGAAAAGGATGTTGTCTCGTTATAACTGCAGACGTTCTGCAGCCGTGAGTTAGCACTGCATGAGACAGGATTTTTTCATGAAATTAAATGTTAAAGACGTTTTTATTTCAAGTTCAAGCTAGGAGGATGCAGTCTTGCATAACTGGGATATTACTATTTTTATGCTTGATATTGAAAAGAGTGGTGATGGTTGCTATTCTATTCACTAGTCTGAGAATTGGCTTTAGGAAGATCACATTTTAAGTCTATAGGTTGCTCAATTCCCTTTGTTGCGACTCAAGAAATTACCTTTAATAATTTTACTTCTCTTGTATGCAGATACTGTAGTCTTTTCCTTTAATCATGTTTGATGATTGGTGAGGATGTTGGATTTTAAATGTAATGAATTCGTGCATGAATCGCCGCTGTTTCAGGTCCCAATTTAAAGTCTTCTTCCAATGTTTTAGTTTTATTCTGCGGACCACATAATCCGATATTGTGTTGGCATAATTATTCATCGCTTTTATTTTTTCACTGCAGAATAACGTTTTCTATTGATCTCGTATGGACTATGCCGAATTGAACTTAAATATACCGATTGATGATTGTTTTTTAGTAATGGAGGACAGCACTTTTGTCAAGTTTATTTTGCCTGTGAACAATACATGACGTATTTCCTTTGTTTAGTTCGCATGACTTAGGAATGGCCCTAATTTCTGTTCGAGAAACATCAACACTGAATTGCATTCTGTGAGCGTAAATGTGTCATTTTGTTCCGCTTCTGATGGTAACTATAACCCCAAATTCAACGTGCTAAAATTTCAACGAGACAACCAATACCTCCTCTAAATGACTTTCCTTATGCTTTATATCAACATAAATCAATAAATTATCAATGTGAGCATTGTTCTTTTCCAAAGCTTGTCTCCTCTAAATCTTCAGAATGTGCCGGTTCAACACCGAATGTAGACGCTTTCACGTCCCGCGATTTCAGTCCGTCTATGTAGCGACCGAGGGCAGTCGTGACAGTGCAGTGCTTGTGTCAAACCTCCTTCTAACTTTTTCAATCAAGACAGTGGAATGATCGTGACGATTAAGCTCTAAATCATCTGGATATCGGAATCTATCTCGATAGTTCTCTCTATATGCACATTTTGGGATGTTGTTGCCGTGAGGCAACAAATCGAAGCTCGGGCTTCTTTATCAGTTATTTTCGAGTATTTTATTTTTATTTCAATGTTTATATTATTTTAATTGCTGACCATGCAAACTAAACAACACCTTGACTTTTGCTGCGTAAGGTGTTTTTCTTGGCAAAACACAGCAAAAATTTCGCGAATTATAAACTTGTTTTCTGAAAAAGCTAACGATGCGTGCTGGATGTGGCTACCAGATAATGGCGTAACAATATTGTGCCAAAATTAACGTGAGAGCAACCCTCCTCATGACTCCAAGTTCAAAAATTAAAATTATGATGTTGATTCACGGTTTTAATTTTCAGTCATTTATTGACAAAGTATAAGCCAAGAAACAATTTTGCCTGTGAATTAGAGCTACAACGCAGCCATGGCACCTAAGGTACCGAGATGGTGGATAGAT